TGCTTTCTCTTAGTCAATGAAGTTGATGTACAGTGAAGAATTCCATTCGATTGATTGTTCCACAATGATCCGTAGAGTTGCGTTTTGTAACTCTGTGAGTTGCTTGAACTAGAATATGGTAAAAATATTCATTTATAGAGAATATCTGAAACTTGAGGGTTTTAAATTATTGGCGATATCCGGCGTGTCTTTGTTTCATAATGGCAGAAAAATTTTAGTGAATGGAATGGATACGGGATCTTGAGGGATAACACATTATCATCTCGAAAAATCTGTACGGTGTTCCATGAGATAATCTCACACCTATAGGAAGTTCGCTGCATAAGCAAAGTGTGTCAATCGTGTGGTGTAGGTATTTTCCCATTCTGTTTGTCTCTGATACAGGAAAATTACAGTCATCAGTAGTAGCCATTAAAATAGTCAAGGAAATAATGTATAATGGCAACAAGAGAAAACAGACGATAGTATCAGATCATGATAGTCGAAAAATCTGTCTCTTATCTGAGAATTTCATTCCGTCGTGAAGCTCTTATTAGCAAGCGAAACCTGGAAATTCTTAGATGATGGATCAAAACGGCCCGACGAACATCGATGACGACGACACAGAAATGAAGAAACTGTTATTTCAAAGATTTCGAACTTCACGCACAAATAAGATTAACGGGCACTTCACTTAATATTGAACAACTGTCTCAGAAGTAAATCTAAGAGCCGTAACAATGAATCAAAAAACTTTAGCTTTTAAACAAGAACACTCTGTGTTGAATATAGTTCATTCTGATATACCGAGAGAAGCTGATTCAATCGTAGCAACATCGCACAATATAATGAACTCACATTCAGAAGGGGATTTGTGGAGATTTCAGTATATTTCAAAGTTGAAATCATGAGTCAATTGAAGTTAGACCACCATCGAAAACCTGAAAGCACTGGACGGCCGTTTCGTCCTATTATGGGACTCCTCAGCAGTGCGCATCCACGAACCCGCTCTCGCGAGCGAGATTCGAACCCAGGTCCTACCAGTTACGAGCCGTCCAGTGCTTCCAGGTTTTCGATGGTGGTCTAGCTTCAAATGACTCATGATTTCAGCTTTGAAATATACTGAAATCTCCACAAATCCCCTTCTGATTATAATCATATGCTCACTAGTGACTGACTTCAAGATACATGACCTGGAGTTCTAGTGGGAAGCAGTGACCAGTGGAGTTCAACCACGTCTGTTGTGAGATAACAACTCACTGAAGGCAATTGGTGAAGTGTTGCTCATAATTCGTGGATCAGTTGAAGTTAGACATTAACACAGTTGGATATCAGCTCAGTGGTCTATCGGTTAAGGGCTCTGGCTCGTAACTGGTAGGTCCTGGGTTCGAATCTCGCTCGCGAGAGCGGGTTCGTGGATGCGCACTGCTGAGGAGTCCCATAATAGGACGAAACGGCCGTCCAGTGCTTCCAGGTTTTCGATGGTGGTCTAACTTCAATTGACTCATGATTTCAACTTTAGAACTCACATTCGCTAGGTCAAAGCATTATCCAAGATTATGCAAATGTGATGTATATCTGATGTTTGTATGATTTAGTAATTGTTTTGTACTAGACGAGTGCTTGATTTTTAATTCTATATACAATACGTTCGTTTTTGCTCACCTAGATTTATTTGGCATACATTACACTGTTTCGATGATTACTAGTTCGTATAATTAACTAAAACACTTTTGAAAGGCACAGTATACTTCGACATTTTTTAAATAGGCCTACCCAATCGAACTTGATGCTACCGACCAATGACATTTCTCATAATTGCCTCAAACGTTATGGAGTGCTTGACATACGATGGTCTACATGAAAACCTGTACAAATGCCTTATATACTTTCCAATTTATATTAACCACCTTCCACAGTAAGTATCGTTTTCTTTATTACATTTCGCTTTCGATATAAAACTCTTGAGAAAATTTTTCAATAAAGATGACAAGCTGTTAGGCACGCGAGTAGGATTTGAAAGGACTTCAAAGTTGATCAGATGACAATAGATGAATTTAAATACTTCAAAGTACTTATCAGTCCAACTTGGACATGTTACAAACTGCAAGCCCACATAATTCCCCCGTCTTGAGTTAGAAAAGGTCCAAGACTGTCGATTCTCTATGATATGAAGTCTTATACTGACTGCAACAATGATGCCTTTCTTCAGTAGACTTTGTACTGGTAAATTTAAAACGTGAATTTGACCGTTTTGACAGTAGAACTCTCCAATTATTTCTCGAAGGTTCAAAAAGACCTCATCAATACTTTGGAAATATAGTGTTTACTGCATCAGTCCAAAAGGATAAGAATAAATTGGAGCGTATCTGAGTAATAGTGAAGATATCACCAGTATTATAGTTTGACAACGCTTTACGAGTAACACCTTCTATAAGCAAATCACACCCATCTAGTAAAATGAAAAGTCAGGAGCGAGGAGGTTGGAAGATATATTTGGTAGGTTATCAATATATTGAGAAGTGACTGATCTAATCTGGCTAATGATCGCAGATGTTGCGCACGCCGTTCTTAAACGTGATCTCGTACGGATGCATGAGCGAGCGCCTTCAGCTAAACGAGCCCACTAAAACTAATGTAGTCAGCATCAAATGTCGAACAAATACAGGGATATTGATTTTAAGAATTTATTTACAGCTACAGTAAGTTCAAATCCAATCCTCATGAAAAGCGCCTCAAATCATTTAATCTTTTACCATCAGAGTATGATATCTCAAAAGGCAAACTCCCAATGACTTATTAAGTTCTAAATACTTCAAGCATCCCTCGAACCACCTACGTGAGCTCAGTCCCAAAATAAAGATTTTAGATATGCGACATAGCAGAATAGCTGTCGGTACATATTTTACCATCTATAAGTAGTTGAATTTTGAAGTACTGTGAGGGATGGTGCAGTTGAAGCGACTTCCGAGCGTCCTTCAAGAGGAAACGGAACGTATTCCTAAGGATTCTAGACAGTCTCTCGCTAAAATTTTCCAACATTTCTCTTTTTATCGTTAAATACACCAAAGTTCCTGCTTGAATAAATTTGCTTACTTGTTGTTACTAGACGCAGAGGTTCATTAAACGGAAGCTTTCACTCTTCCATTGTCAACCATTTGAATCACATTGGAACCGTGAGTTGCAAACTAATGAGCGTAATTTAAATTCGGATGGCCTTGAAACTCTGGTTGTAGTCACTTTGATTCGCATACAGGATATGGGTTCCTCATCATTGCTTCTCGCGTTTGCCTCCAGGACTTACATTTTTGCACTGCTTTGCTTACGATCTACATAAAAAACGATGAATTCGGTTTTAATTTTTGTTCTCTATTAATTGGTATAACATCTTATAAGATATAAATTTCAGTTTTCTTGCAAGACTATAGATTTTAGATAAGCTGATCGGATTTAAGTTGACGGATTTGTCAATTAGAAGCATAATTCATTTATTCATATCTCTATTCATGTGTTATAACTTATGCGGTTTCGTAATGTATATCCGGTGATACTATAATCTATGGGTGACCTTTGCACGACCATAAATTGCCTTTGAGAGTATCCACCTAATAACTTGGACCAAATGAAGATTATAAACTTGTATGAGGGATTAGAATTATGTTTTGCAGCTGACAGTTAGGGTTAGGAACACGATGTAGAGTTTTTATCACTAACTGGCATCAACTATAATGCCAAAAAGATGTCTTGCCAAATAAATGAATGAATTTCGCGCTAAAATGCAGGAACTGTTTTATTTTGCTCGGTCGGTTCTTCCATAAATCATAGTCTCGCTAAGATCCATCTTCATTTGCAATTACGTCGGCATATTGTATGTTTTTGTTGAGTACTAAATTGTGAACTAGCATGTCTTAGTTGATAGCGAATTCTTAAGTTTTAGACAACGTTTACAATCTGGCTTTTTGGGTTTCGCGTTGGTAGAATATAGTTACTCAAACACGTAGTAAATAAGATTTTGCGTTGTCTTACTTAAAACATACTTTTAGGTATACTGAACTCTTATTTTCATATGATTTGTTCAATGATACGTAATATATATTTTCATACTAATGTGCTGAACCTCCATCGCCCGATCAACTGCTTAGTTCATTGTGCTCTATAGTTCATTCTTGCTATTGTCATTGTGAAACCTATACTCATTGTCTGTAATTGGTAACGTGTACTCTGTTAAAAGAAGTGGTTGTTTCACAGCTAAAACCCGAGCTGACAGAACGTTGAATTGAAGATTGTAAGTAATACGGTGAAAATTAATACACAGAGGGTCAGATGCATTCGTTTTTTTTCTTTGAATGATAGATGCTTAGTTGTACTGCTGGCTCTCATTTTCCTTCCTTAACTCTATTTATTTTTACTCCTGCCTTACTAATTTGGTTTCTCTCATTTATTAGATTCAGAATTTCCCTTGACTTCTGTCCATTAGTTTGGTGTATATCATACAAAATTATCATTGATTTAGATTTACCTGTATATCGTTTTCTTTCTTTGTGTATTGTCTGGAATGATAAGAACTCAGGTCAATAAGATGTCGTGTTTGTGTTGTATATTGTTCCATAAAAACAGATAGTAGTATTTATATGTTTCGTTTGACAGTGATTCGAGAACAACATTTTCTATTACTTTTCTTAGAAATGGTACACTTGTAATATCTCAACTAGACAGAGACGCAAATCCCTAATATTTTTTTCAGAATTCTTTTAGAAAAGTGGTCCATACTAAGTCTATTACTTGAGGTGCTACAAATTTATCGTTTCTTTTGTAAGAATTCCACATAATACTCAATTTAATTCAAGATTATGAAGTCAAATCTTGGTGATGGTATTCACTGATAATTTTCTTTTTTTTACTCAGTGCGCAAGTATGTTCCAACTATTTCTGCTTCCCTCAAATATGTATATGTATTTTATCTCTTTCAGCTATTACAGTTGCAGCTAGTTGTACAGTAAAACTGATATTTGCACATAGAAATGGGTGTGCACTCATGTTCATCTGTATTTGAATATCTCAAAAATGTTGGTGTTCATATGCTTGACGAATTGTACACTCATCCTCCAACATGTCTTGTCGTTTTTAGAGAATTACCTGAACTGGCGAAACATTTTGTCATGCGACTTTTATTTATTGAACAACCGATACCAAAATCTATTGTCTCTGGGTGGGTTGAAAAGGGTTCTAGTGCACTTCTAAATGACTCATGTAAAGCTTTGACCGATTTAAGGATATGGCACTCTACAGACAGTAATGTTTCTCGAGGCTCTTGGTCTTTAAATAAAAGGTACCAAGAATCTATTCGGATATCACTATTCGGAGGGTAGTCATTGTTCATTTTCCAAATCTTTATAATTAAATTACAGTGGAAAACCCTTACTTGGAGATTTAGGCATTGTGACAAACGATAAGTACTCAAAAAGCGTTGACTTTTTAAAATCTTATGCAGCTGAACGGTGGGATGTGAGTTTATGTGTGAATTAATTTCCTTTCTCGCAGGCTATACTTCACTTTATGGTAGGTTCTGAATCAGCGGAAGTTGGAAGTGTTGTGAAGGATGTCCTTTTATTGTCCAATTTAATGAAATGGTATGTTCAAATTACTAACTAGATTTATTTTCACATATACTAACTATCAGTGAAGGTAATGATTGTCCAATCGGTATCACAAAGCACGGGTTCCATTTCTTGCTTATGAGTCGACAGTTTCAAGTGCTAGTATTCATTTTGCACTACTTCGACTACTTGAAGGTAATTCAGCTACTAACTGTGCTCTACTGTTGTTTTTTTATCTTAACAGGAAAATGGTAAAAATTTAGTTGGAGCCCTACAGTTCGTCTTCCAACTTAGTTTTTTGTGTCCGACAAAGGTGAGCTTAAGTTTGTTTGTTTTATAAGGTTAAAATGCACTTGACCCAGTGACTGTGCACACTTTTCTGTCTTAGGTTGTAGGTCACGCTTGTTATGGGTTCTCGATATGTTCATGTACTAGGTTTATATTTCACAACTCCAACTTCAATACAGTGAATAATACTACTACTATCCTCTTCTTCCTTGCCCTTTTAAGTAGAGTAAGAAACCTGGTTTTTTAATAGAAACTTTGTTGATAATGATCCCCATTGTAACTAAAAGTACGTGTAAGTTAATCGGTTATATATAGATTACAAATTCATTCGCTGAGATTTTACAAATATATATTATTCCTATTTAATGTCTTACATCAACTCGGCGCTCAAATACTGTGAAACTATTTGCTCTAATGTAGACGAGAGTTCTTATATAGATTACAATGATTGTAATTTACTAGCGGAGTAATTGTCACCAAAAATATATCAGAGTGAAAATGTATTGAAATTTCGTATGGCAATGTAACGAAAATGTGCTGGAATTTGACCTTACATCCATTTTGAATCGATATTGATTTCTTCCTCATAAGTTGTATTTGGGTATTCCACAACCTTAAGATTAAGCAAATTACGTTTTATTTGGAATGGCTAACGTCAAGCCCCTTTGTAGCCCAAATGAGGTTGAGCTAACTTAAAATCTTTGAATGCATAAATTACTGTTGAAGCTTCATTCCATGGGAATATTTGCTCTTTTGTTCATCTTTTTCTTCAGTAAGGTTCTTTTCCATGGCAACCCTATGCCCAACCTTCTTCATTTATTTGTGCTTGGGACCGAAAGCAACCTTAGAGAGGTTCTAGGAGGAGTCACCATTGAATCGAGGTTTCAACATTTAAACAATTATAAGCGACAAATTATACATATTCCCCCTTAAGTTGAAATTTCTTCAGTAGTTCATTAGTTTCTTAGCGAAAAGCCAGTATATTTCTTTTACAAAGTTGGGTGAATTATTTTCTCTCATTGACAATAATGCCACCAAGCAGGCAATTGATAATAGTATACGCGCAGCAAAATAAATGACTGGTAATTATATTGGTACCAGTACTAATGTAGAAGTTGAGCTTTTGATGAAAATCATAAGGTATGAATTCATACATAGAAGCCAAAAATATAGCCGAATACGTATTTGGAAATTACATACAATGAGCAGAAATTTTATTACGAAGACGGTCACGTGGCATAAGTCTGAGCTCGTGGATCACTTAATATATTGTAAAGCCCCCAAATGCCCTGGTACAGCCGAGAGTGCGGAGGGGCCGCCTTCTCAAAATGCTCTCACATGGCCTCGCGTATATAGCCTCTGACAGGGAAGTCCTACTCACTGCCTTCTCGTGGCACCGGTGTTGTTTACGAAATTGAGAGGACGAAAAGCGAGTGCCCGGCGCTTTAACCGGGTTGGTGGACACGGAAAGTCCACGTAGGGGAGTTGGAAAACCCTGATTCCAAACCAGTGGTACACATGGGCTTCAGTATCCTGAGGGAACAAATGGCGTATTAATCAATCGTTGGTCATCGGCTACCATGGAACTGCATCTCCTCACGATTCTCCACTGCCTTGTGAATCAGACCTTTTAGTCGAAGGCTCCGAGTGTGGCTCCCTAAGAAAACTACCTGCTTCAGTTTGGGCACCTGTGCAGTATCACAGCCCTCATACGAATCAAATGAGATTTGTGTGGCGCATATACATCTGGTGCCCCTTGTACCAATATTTATGCTTAAATAAATAAATAATCTATCGTAAAAGTCTCACTAACCATAAGGATTTTGTGGCTAATAAAAACTAGGCATGAGTTTAAGAGCTACTTTAGCCCCTACAAACTTAAGCCTCTCACCCACTAGACGAGATATCCATCCGTCAACAAAGAGGTCGGTTTATACTGCTCAGCTGTCCTTTCTTTATTACATTATGGGGCTGGCAGGTAGCCTATGAAACCAGATATTCACAGACAGCAAGGATTAGGTCATCGATGTCTTGGAGCATTTCTCACCGTATCATTGGGTGAGTAAATGAGAAACCTCGCGGTTAGTTGTATATCTTCTACCAGAAGGTTCACCTATTGACTTAGAGTATGGAAATGACATACTCTTGTCTGGTGAAGACACTGGTAAAATGCAGAGTCTTCTGGTAGCATTTAGGAACATAGCTAAGAGTTTTGGGATGCGTTTCTCTTCCTCTAAATGCAAATTGTCACTTCAGGACTGGTCTGCGTCAACACCTGGACTAAGGATATGGAGTGAGGTGATCGAACGCGTCGATAACTTCACTTATCTTGGAAGTCTGATCTGCTCTAATGGGTCAATGTCTGACTAAATCTCTCCACGGATTAGGAAAGCTCGCTTGGTTTTCGCCAACTTACGTGACGTATGGCGAAGGCGATATATTTGTCTGTCAATTAAAGGACGAGTATACTGAGTAGTTCGTTCTGTTCTACTTTACGGCTGCGAAACGTGATCGGTAAGAGTAGAAGATACTCGTATGCTACTTGTATTTGATCACAGATGTCTTAGAAATATTGCTCACATCTGCTGGGATCACGAGTAAGTAATAGTGGGGTGAGGTTAGACACAAGGTATTAGGGAATGATGGTAAATCAGTTGATGAGGTTGTGAGTCTCACAGACTGAGACGGTTGGGCCACGCATTACGCATCCCTAACCACCGATTGCCACTGCACGCAATGCTGACTAGTGTTGGAGACGGTTAGATTAGAGATAGTGGCAGCCAGACCGAAACTTGGCATCAGTGCTTGAAGTCACTAACTTCTGGTCTGAGCCATGTTGGTAGATGTGTGGCGCATATATATATCTGGAGCCTCCTTGTACCAATATTTGTGTTCAAATAAATAAATGTAGGTTGATGCAGACTACTTGGTTGGGATCTGCTTGACTATTGTAACGAGTGGTTGGAGACTGTGGGTGACATGGCTGAAAATCTTTCATAATGCCGTAGGTGTACACACTCTTTGTCTTCGCTTAAACCGTGAGATTAAAATTACTTTATGCCCTTCTTTCTACGAACTGATTCTTTCTTCCTTTATCATGTCCGTATATGCAATCTTTCTTTTATATATTACTACCATTGAAGTAAAGCCATTAATAATAATAATAATACCATTGAAGTAACTGCTTTATGAATTTGGTGTTCATCTTGTTGTGCTAATGAGGTGTGACAACTTGGACCAATGTATATATGTGCCTGATCCTAATTCGTAGCCAACTGACTGACCGAAAGGCCGCAACTCTCTTGATGAATGTAAAACTTTATCGAATGAAGTTACTGTAATATAGTCTCTAATATATCTCATATCTTAATTCTATTTATTTCGTTCTAAGTATTTTTCTTGTGTTTAGTCTCCTGTTAAAATCAATGCTAATTTTTCCACTGTATTCTTTTTGTTTATTTCTTATTTTACGTCCTGGTGTGGTGCATTTTACTTAAATCTTTGAACATCTGTTCCATGACTTATATTGTTCATGAGTAGTGATTAACTAGTATATTATCTAGTGTCAGTCGTATTTAAGTAACTTGGTAGAGTATTCAGTGTTAATTTTTCCACAATTTACTATCGTTTATTTATTTTATTCATGAAGTAATTTCAATAATAAATGCAAGAAAATTTGTCGCATTTATTCGATGTTACTACTTGTTTTTCTCTTGTCTTCCTGTTATTCTTTATCTGTTTCTCCTATGATTTACATGGTACTGTGATACTACTTTATTTAATTCTTCCCTCTGTATCTACTTTGCTCAAAGCAATATTTTCAGCTAGGTCAGTATACCCCTTAACAGTTAAGAAGGACACAGTTGGCTAAGTGAACTACTAGAAAGATTGTTACGCTTTTAATAAACCACTGTTAATCATATTATGTATCGATTTTCTCCAGCCTTCCTCCACAAACTGTTCTGCATTTGCTTAGTTTCTTAATCTAGATTGTTTCGTGATAATATCCTAGACACATGAGACATTTTTACATTATATCGTTAACTTTCATCTAATAAATAACAATACTGTTAATTTTTTGGACACTATTCATCTCTCCATCCTAATAATTAATAACTGCCGTAAAGTTCTTAGATTACTAGTTTATGATATGCCTAATATATTGTATAATTATTTTTTCATATTTCAGAATCAGTTTCTATAATATTGCGTTTCTGTTTTCGATTTTTCCGTAGAGCTATCCAGTAGAGGCACTGAGTACTGCCCAACAGGAAGTATTACAACATATGCGCGAACTCGGTTTAGCTTATCAACGAAAACGTACAGCGCCTCGTTTCTATGTAACTCCTCTTGCTTTGGATTTCGCTGGAGGTCATACTACTTTCTTGGAAAGTAAGTCAGGTGGATGGGGTCCACAATCGGGGGTTATTCCTACTGGTGTCTCAAAATCAGATCCCACCGACAGCAATAAAATGTTTTCGCAGATTTCAGTATCGAATTCTTCCGATGTTGGTTACATTTTGCTCGAAACCAATTTTCGACTATATGCCTATACAGGTAAGCAAACAGTGTATGTTGTTCAACTGCTTGGAAAATATTGTGTTAGAAAATATTGAATTGTACTACAATTCTTCATTTGAATTGCGAATGGAGGAGGTCTCTTAACACTTGTGACAGGTAATTGAAGGTCTCCCACCTGATCAGTATTCATTGTAATCAATCATCATTATTTGTCCAAACGTTCCACGGACATTACGTTTGCCTCCATGATTCTCATCAAACAATGATATGGATATCTAACTTGTTTAATTGTTAGTAAAAGTCTTAGACTCGTGCTAAAGTTTGTAGTTGCTTTTTACCTTTTTAAGGTTAATCATCTTCTGTTATAATTGTATTTTTGCTAATATAAACGACCCAGCTATTCCTATTGCTTAGTATTCTTATACAATGACACTCGACAAGACCCCAAAATCAGAACACGTTGAACAGGAATCGAAATGTATTCAAAATAATAATGATAAGTGAACAAAAATCACTAGTTTAAATAACGTTCATATATTTATAGTATATACATAAGCTTATAGATTTTTCTGCAATAATATGCCCGGGCTGATCGGTTTAAAATTAGTCAATCAGCGCGCAGCAACACTATCATGCATGAAAAATGCTTTAATCCAATCTATATCCCACTAACATCTTCATATACGGAATATTCACACCACCACTTTTTATGACTATTGTTATTATTACTAAAATTGTTTGTTAATTGTGTTATACTAAGCTTTCATACACATGCCAAATTTTTTTTCATAGATTCACCGCTTCGTACTGCCCTTCTTAGCTTATTTAGCAAAATACGTGCACGTTTTCCTAATCTTGTTGTTGCTGATATAACTCGTGACTCAGTTCGGGAAGCATTAATTCGTGGAATAACTGCAAATCAGGTAAGTTTTACTCATATTCACATTTTAATCTTGACTAACTTAATTACTTCTACAGATCCTATCTTTCTTAACAGCCAATGCACATCCAGATATGTTACTACAGGTAAATTTTGTTGATTGTTTTTCCCTACTGTAAGTTATTTTCTATGTTGTATCGAAATCTCAAAACAAATAGTTAACCATCTGTAAATTGTCAAGTGTAAAGTTTAGTGGTTTTAACTGCTTTCTTACATTCTCTTAAGTTTTATGTGTATGTTGTAGCAAGGTAGTTTTGAGTATTTATGAAAGAAAAATGGTGTGTATAATAGTCGTTTTTCAATTGGTTTTTAAAATAAGCCATCTAATGTATAGAGATCAATGGTTTCTATGTTGGTTGTTTAGAGACAGTCGGTAAAGAGCCCCGGACTAGTTTACATTTACCACCAAGGATTATCTGCACTCTTAAGTGAATCGATTTTCTTTGTGGAATTCAAACTTCTATCAGCCAGTATCATATAGACGTTATCAATGAATAGTTTAGACGTCCTTTTTGGTTATTTCTGTCATGGAATTCCTGGTTATTGATTCAAGCTGCAACTTATTTAATGAATACCTAGGATCACCACACAAATCGATAGCTTTGTGACAGCAATGATCATGTGTGATAGAGAACATCAATTTTGTTGACTACTATTTGATATCTCATCGATAGATTCGTGTATCCTGTCTCATTAAATTTCAGTCAGATGTAACGCATGGAGCCGTATCATTTCAAATAAACGTTGATAATAAACTGAAGCATCTTGAATAACACCAACCACATGGGGTTGCGTCCGTCTCCAATACTGTAGCTAATATATTCGAAAACTTCACTGCCAAAAGTAGCCCATCATAATTCAAGACTTTTCTAAAGCAACTTATCAGGCCTTTCTCCTGTATCCCTTCAATTTAGGTGCATTTTTAACCTTACTAAGATTTGCGAGACTTGTTTTATTTTCCCTTCTCAGGTTATGTAGAAGAAAATAACTAAAGAATAGCTAAAGGTCAGTGGAATCGTCCTTTATTGTTCTCCTCGCCGCTACAATATCCTGGAAAGGATGGATCACTGTATTGTCTTTTCCTAAAATAATCTGACAACCGACTTCCTAATGCCTCTTCCTTTAAGGAGTCTTAACAGTTCTTTAGTGTCACCTATCACAGTTACCTTCCCGATCTCTTTTGCTTTTGTTTTGTTCCACTGCCAATGATCAATGCGTAAACTGTGTTTGCCTGTTTTAAAGTTTTCTTCACTGTTCATCGTTGTCTGAGGCTGCTTGAATGACTGTACAAGCGTCCATAACTTGAAAACTAAACTTATATTCATTTTCAAATTAAACGTAAGTTATAAAATGTACACTAACTCTATTTACTGTTTTTTAATTGTACTACAGAATCCTATATTACCGCCTACTTTAACCGATCAAATACGACTATGGGAATTAGAGCGAGATAGGTTTCTATTTCAAGAAGGCTGTCTGTATGAACAATTCTCTCGGAATACAGATTTTGAAATGGTTCGGGATTATGCTAAAGTAATTTGTGGTTATCCTTTTTGTTAATGGAGTCTCTCTTTCTATCTCTAGAGTATTGGTGTTTTACTCTGGGAAAATCCTGAACGAAGACTTATGGTTGTGTCTAAAGCAGGTCATGAAGATGTGCGGAAATTTTGGAAACACAAACGTCCGTCCTAAAACTTTGTCACTGTTCACTTTTCCTTTCCTACTCCAGATTATATGTACATAAATAGTTACATTTTCACTTTTATTCAAACAGTATTTGTTGAAGAAAGATTTTACAGCAAAACTCCGTTATTTTTTTATTTTTCATATTATATTAAAATAGAATTGCCTTAAGTATTTATCTTCCAGTACCTAAACTAAAAACTTTTTTCTGCTACTTCAGTTTTTTACCAGTTGGATGAAATATCTAGAGAAGTCACATAGTAATAATAGTTAAACAAGATACCCTATTCATGTATAAATATTCATATACATGGAATAAAATCAAAACTTGTTTAGCCTACTTGTCGACTTTCGTTACTGTATATCTTCTTATTTTGGCAAGTTCTTATCGAAATAAAGCTTAGTAAGCTTCCATTATTCGATTCGTATATATATATATATATATATATATATATATATATATATATATATATATATAACAGTGCAGTCGGTGTACATTCTATTTGGTATAAGGATATTTATTTCAATAATCATAACTCAATTTGTTAAAAAATCAGTGAAGTTAAAACTTCTGATTGACAAAGTAAATTCTTTATATCTACTAACTAGTAACAGTTTCTTACCAGTGAGTGACTACGCAACCGAACTCCAGCATTACCTTTGAATATTTACTAAATTCAATAAAAAGACTTTGTTTACAAGTTATTTGGACGTCCATTAAAATCAAATAACACTTGACACTTGTCCTAACGAAACTATTGATTTCATAGTTAAGCAAATCTTTGTTTTTAATTAAATTTCGTAGTTTGATTTACAAACCGTTTCAGTTTTATGCATTCTTGGTGTGACTCAATGTGATTGGTGTACATAATCGAAAGTAGTTTCCAGAGAGATATTTAAATATATAGCCTTCTAACTACAGACTGTCTTCTTACCCCTTAGTAAATTATCATCGAACGATTCAAAAATACTTTTAACGTACTTAAGTTTAAAAACTTTCTACACAGATTTAAAAAAGTAGTCCACTGTGTGCTTCGAAAAATCAAAGATGAAATTGAAGAAAATCTGAAGTACATAACGAAAAAGTTGTATGATAAAATAAACTATCATTTCAGTGAATCAAGTCCTCGCTAATTAGAGAGTTATTGAATAGTTTAGCTAAACAGTGGTTTAAGTAATCTGATTTGTTCTATAACAATAATTCCCACTAAGTAGATGACAGTAATCAAAATACAATTATCTTCTTACATTCCCATACCAAATTCATAATCACGGATTTGACAGCAGAGATCCAACCTTAAGTGTTACGTTAAGTAACCTTATTAGTTAACTGATGTGTAGGCGAGGAGAATAATGATTGATTGTTTTTTAGTCAAACTAGTATATAGTTTGACATGCATTAGATAAGTTATATATTCTCCTAACTTTATTACTATTGTTGTTGGCGTGGAAATGCACTCATGTTCTAATCAGGTCAGTCACGTGTTCTTGATTCGAGTCGTGTCGAAGTCCTGTAGAATAGACACTGGGAGGGTATCTAATGTAGTTATTCATCTAAAGCATATTAGTGTTTTATTGGTGTAGACAGTGAAACGAAGCGAAATAACATTAACATAGGATTTCCACGCAGCAAATGGATGATATGGTATAGAGATTCATAAATATTTTACTTTTGTTACCCTTGGGTCTTTTATTTCTTTTCATGAATGTTCTTTATCAAACAAAAAAAACAAGATGAAGTACTCCTAGTTGAAGTGAATTTATTTAATATTTCTTCAATCTTCCACATATATAAAAAGTAATTGTAAGAAATTAATGTAAGAATACTTCAGTTAACTTGTACCAGTAATCGTAAATACTTTCTACATTCATGAAAGCCAAAATTATACATGAACAGGATAAATTAAACAGTTTACATATAATTGTTCAACAACAAACATTCAAATTGTTACTTACAAACAATAAAAATGGATAGTAATTCCAAAATAATAATAACGATAATGAAACAATAGTAGTATTATGTCCAGACAAAACAAGTTTGGATTATCATGAAAATTAAAAATACATAGATATTAGCGTACGTACAGTAAATTCGAGATTGGAAAAAGGTTCGGTTAATAAATTCTAGAAAAAATGAGGGTTTCACACTCAACTTAAAGGTAAAGATCTACAAAAGATGAATTGATTCCTTTTTGAGTTTTCAGAATGTTACTTAAGTCATTCATAATATATGTCTAAAAATAGTTTTCGATTATACAGTATACACGTGATCCATGCTATAAAAATATTCGCAATATTAGTAGAAAAATTACATTCTGTGACAATAATCTTTGTGATGTTATCAGGTCTTTGTCTTAGTAACTTTTCAGATTCTTTGACAAATACTCAATTTTCAAAATAGAAATCTCGAGTTGATCTAATCTACACCACGATTGAAAACCTGGAAGCACATGATAGCCATTTCGTCCTAGTACGCGACTCCTCAGTAATGGGGAGATCGCAACCAACACACAAAAATAAGGCATCCCAATTTATCTGAAGACAATTTCTGTAGACGGAACTGTTCTCATTCCCGGTTCATGATACTAGCATACATAACGTAATAGTCCTGCAGTCTTTTTACAAGCTGAATACACTGGTATCTAGTGTGAAAATTTAGTGATCGTTCACCAACTATGCGTTTCTCGAAGTATTAGCTTGGCTGACTTCCCACAATAGGACGAAACGGTCCTACAGGTTTTCCATGGTGGTCTAGCTTCAATTGACTCATGATCCCAACTATTAAAAAGTTATTTATTAGTTTCAAATAGTTGTTTAATCAAATATTTAATGAACACATAAATGAACAAGTAGAATAAATAAAATGACTCCTCAAACAAGTTAATAATCGTATCTTATATCTAAAAAATACTGAACTATTTTTCATTATTTTGTAGTTTTTAGACATTGAATATTTAATATTAATTTATCCTCCAGTTATATTTAGACACAAAATAAGTTAATTATGTTATATCGATTGCCTGAGTGCGTGCCCTGTTTAATATATGACGTGATGATCCCCGCCAATCAGAGAGGAGTGAATTATCGATCAGAGCAATGATACACAAAAAACAGTATGAGCAGTCTTGAGTACTTATCAGTCCTGCTTTCTGCCTAGCCCAACCAATTAAGTCCAGAACACCAATAACAGCCTCTGCAATATGAATCATTTCTTTCAAACATACTGGGCTTATATACCAACCAGATAGACCACATCATACCATAAAATAGAAAACATTTGTACCAGATTTAGCCAAATGTGGCTGTGAATAGGGGGAACAGTAATCAATAGACTGGGTATAACTCAAGGATGGCAAATCGTATAATAATAGTCTATAGGTTAAAGATCATAGTATGGGGGACATGAATATGAATAGTTTAGTTATTTAACAATTATACGATAAGCATACATGCATAGTATTGGTCCATAAGTGGATCCCAAAAGTTACTATTCATTATTCTTATCGGGATATGACACTATCAATCGTTTACACATACATGCATATTTATTTAATTAAAAAAATTAATCAATAGCTGTCATAGGTCAACAAAGGTTGACGTGTCTTTTGAATTAAATAGAATTAAAAAGTGATTATCAGGTTGGTCTCCTGTTAGTGTGTTATACAATAAGTTTTTAGGTCATGACGTATATGCAAGGTTTATGTTTATAAGACAAATGTACTCAGTAGTTGCGTCATTTTAGAGATTATAAATCATTATTTAAATATATTAAAAGAATGCCAAGTAATTCTGAAGTATATATTCCATGTATTTATAGTCTGTGTACATTAAAAGGGAAAGTACATTTTATATGGTGTACTGCCGCATACTGTAATGAATAATTAATTCATATAGAGTAACTTGTAGCAAGCCCATTCAACTACTGTATTTTTTGTGTGCTCTCTGTAATCCTTAAATTTAACTCACTGTAAATTTATGTGTGAGTCTGATTGAGCGCATGTGTCTGCACATCAATCCCTAATCTGTTCTCTCATTGGTTGTAAACAAAGACAATCAATAATTTATCCACAATCCATTAACACTCAAAAATATATATGGATATTTACCACTCTCACACACACATACGCTTGTTTTCCCGGTGTGCTTGCTATCTGTACGCTTGCGGATTTTTACCGAGCTTCATCAATAAACTATCTCTACAACTGGTGTTCAGGCTTTTGAATAATCTCGAGTAAACCCGTAATATTACTAGGAGATTTAGCCTGCAGTAAATAATCAGTTAGCGGGATATTATTTATTTATTGGAGTCAGATATAGAGGAATTATTCCTCAACAAACTCGTATTTACGTTACAATACCGGTCAATAATTTTAACACGGAAATTTTTATTTGACTACCTTTCAGAAGAACCTCTTAGGAGATTTTTTGACAAGATAATTGGAATTATGTTATTTTAAACCATCTGAATGTATAATCGTTCTAATGTTTAAAGATAGCTTTGACAAAGAAAGCAATGCATTACGTAAACTCGACAAATATTTAAACTAACTGAAGTTAGACATTAACACCGGTGGATGTTGGCTCAATAGTCAAGAGGTTATGGATTTTCACGGGAAACCGAATGTACTGGGTTCGAGTTCCGCGTGCGGAATCGTGGATGTGCACTTCTAGGGAATCGCATACTAGGACAAAACGGCCGTCATGTGATTTCAGGTTTTTATTAGTGGTGTAACATTGATCGGTTCATGATCTCAATTAAACGATTGAATATTTGGCTAACTCAACTTAATGATCAAACAATTAAATACGTATTCGGAAAGTAAAATATGAACAAATGAAAATTTAATTAACTTTATATAACCAAAAAAGTATCCTTTAGTGTAAGACATAATTTCTTACTGTCATGTCAGAAAACCATACTAAAACATCGTAAGGCGGTATATTGATTAAAGTTTTCATAGATCAGACAACCGTAATAACAGAAAATCAACATAGTAAAGCAAATAAGAGAATATTTGTTGATAGACAATAACGAAACAGAAAGTAATTGAGTTAAAAATTCCCATATATATATATACTATGACTATGTTTATTTAGAGTTTAGTCAGTCATTTATTCGTAGTACCTTGAATGATACTACCAATGGGTGAATAGATTCAGACCGATAAGCACCAAATGCGTAAGTTCTCTGAACGTTGAGTCTGGCTATCCAGAGACTATTGCCGATATACATTTAATTGATCAGTCACATTATTAAGTTAACAAAACTCCTGAATAGACAACATCCAGTCTACATAACGTACTCAGTGGTTACCTCAGTCGTTGTTATGCTTTAAAGATATTTTTGATCCTCATGATTTTATCAGCTAATGTTTCATCAGGGTCGAAGTAACTCGGTAGATATCTTGAATGGTCAACTGACGTACCCCCTATAAAATCAGACTTTCTAGGTGTATTTCTGTATACTAGTTCAGGAACACCACCTTATATACAACAAGATTCAGATTTATGTTAAACACTTTGATTTTTCGCTTAAGCAGACAATGTCTGCCTGATATCATTTTATTTACCATACTGAATTCGGATAGTGAACCTCGCATTAATACAACTGTAGTTTACGTGAATGAAAAGAATGAGCATAGTTTACCAATCATATGTATTCGTACAACTGTGATGAATACCTTCTACAGTGAATGGATAAAAACGATAAGCTCACATCTCTTCAACACAACATGGATACCAACTGAGGCAAAAATATTATCTATGACTTTCTATATACCGAATGATTTTATTGACCTGAAGTCACCATTCTCTTTCCACATTTAAAAATGAATCGCAATTAGAACTGCATAATGAATTTATTTGAAATAAGTATTGTCTGAAGTTGTGTGGTAATTAAAAAACTAATTAAGGTCATGAAGACATTTATAAGACGGTAGGACACCTAGCTACATATTCTGCACTGTGATTAACAGGTTATTCGCGGAAGAACTGCAAATGGGAACTATTTTGTTTTATGCACATTCAATTAATAAATCACTGGTCGTCAAAAACCAGAAATTGCAGTCAGTGAGTAGAAGGAATTAGAGTGCGTTTGACAAACAAATACTTTAATTGCATTTACCATTTATGTCATGACAACCGTTATTCTTTCCAATTACTGGATGTTCTTGAGCAGAAGCGAAGGTTGTCAGTTTATCTCCTTAAAAACAAATACCCAAATAATAGTTGTATATATGCCAATCATGAACTTCGAGATAAATTTCCCCATTTTCGACGTTGACCCGTAACTGACAGTGTTTAACGGAATGGAAACAATAATTATTGCCGATAACATCGTGTGATCGACATACTTTATTGTGGATTGACTGAAGTTGGAAATATACATTACAAATTTATAACGTAATGATCTGAGCTTATCATGATCCATAAAATACCGAGGTTTGATCTTATATGATTTAGTGAGCACTAGTAGAAAGTAGCAAGCTACGAGGAGTTAGGTGCTCAGTGCTCTTCGGTTATAAATGTTTTTTCCGTCGAACGTAGTAGAAATCGATTTGTTCGTCAGCTGAAATACCAGTTACATTGTTGTATAGGATGTACAGATCGATGATGAATACAGTCTAGATGAAAGGAACTAATTACATGAATGATCCATAGGACATAAAGACAAGACTGTAGATGATTTACATAGGTGACTTTATATTATTGAAAACCATTTTTACCACTGGCTAGCATCAAAAAAGAAAACTATTGGAGAGTAGGACCTGCTCCAATTCAGAACTTCACAATATTAGACACTTACAACTCATAAGTGATTTACATACTTTCCAATTTCACAGTGACTAAAATATAATTGAGCCAATGAGTCCAAATCCAGTAGTTCGTTTAAAAAGCGATAGGCTGGATCTCTATCTCAAAACAAGTTAGCAATTTACACCTGATTATTACTGACTTTGACAAAAGCAAAGATATTACTTTAATTTCGGAATATAATTTTTGTACTGGGTTCAATGATCTACGATCTATAAATGTCCTCTTCAGTTGATTACAATCTGGGGTGAAAATCATACTTACTTACGCCTATTACCCCTCATGAGAGAGGATAGGCCACTCACCACCACTCTCCATTCAACCTTGTCCTGAGCAATCCTTTCCAGTTGCTATTCATCCTCTTCATGTCTGCTTCGAATTCCCGACACGGTGTGTTCCTCGGCCTTCCCCTTTTCCGCTTCCCTATAGGATCCCAAGTTAGCGTTTGCCTCACGATGCAATTTGGTGATTTCAGCAATGTATGTCCTATCCAGCGTCTCTTCCTTTTATTCAAACAGTACAAAGTATCTATTTCAATTTGAAATAGATTAAACCATCTTGTTATTTTTGAAACGCGCGTTCTGGAATCAACTGTTAACCACACTCCATCTATTTTATAGTACAAAGTATCTTTAATATGATGTGCTGTGTAATAGTGAATATTTATCAACCATTGCGTAATTGAAATTCTATCACTACTTATAATAGTGACAATATATATGTTGTAATAATTTGTATTATTGACATTATTACTATTACCATACAAATAATGATGACATAGGAATGTCAGCCATTTTTGTCAAAAGAATCTAATATAAATATTCATAATTGGATTAAACTGTAATAGTTTACTATACTATTATAACATCTCTTGACAACGATAATACTACCATTATTGTTAATAATAAATGTCAATACGAATCACAAATTATATAACAACCACACAATTGTAATAAAAGACAAAACATAGAAAAGTAACAGTAATTTGTTCTGAAATGTTTTATGAAAAGATATGCACAGTGCTTCTTACTTATTAATAACGTGCTAAAAATGTGTAATTTTTAGTATAGAAAAAAAATTAAGGCACTTTAATCAAGCTGAATGAATAAATAACAGTGCGAAGAAAATTCCATCTGCGCACGACTCTATAGTAGTAGGAATAATAATTTGATTACCAGAAAAAAAGTGAGTAAAATACACAAAAAAGTCAGTGAATTTCATTAGGAAAAGATCAATATTAATGAAAGCATATGGTAAACAAATTTATAACAAATTAGTCGGATGTTAGCTTATTTTTTCTCTTTTTATTGACTCATGTTTCCCAGTCATCATCTGAGCCAATATCACCTGGTACAGAATTGGCATCAGATTCTTCTCCACTATCATTACTACACATACGATTACGTCGCATTTCCATTGCTTGAGCAAGTGATTGTAATAAATCGAATCCTCCTCCACTGGCAGTTGGATTAGCACCAGTACTACTATTACCACTACTAGGTTTCACAGGTGGCCTAGACACACCTTCACCAGGTGTAATCTAAATTATAGAAAAAGAACAAATACAAATAAGGAAGAAATCATCTGTTTATAATAAACATCTGTCATGAAACAAAAGCAAAGCAATAAAGAGAGACCATAAGTCAATCTATTGGTAAATGTTGTCTAATACGGTTTTCATGAAGGCTAATAATAATGAATAGATTGAAAATTCAGCGAAAAAAAATCAAAGTTGTTTAATGATTGTAATCAATGAATATATTTATTTGAAGCACTGTGGGAGAAATAAAATCCTACACTTCAATTATGTTTGTAGGGAACGGATGATAACACAACTGTCCAAGAATAAATAGGTTCATAGTCAATAGTAATTTGAAGTGAGACTAACTTGTTGGATTTTTACACACCATTTAATTAGTTTACACATTTTATAATTTAGAAAAAATGGAAATGTTTTCCGTCAACTAATATAAAATGGGAATAGTAAAAGATGTCCATTAAACGTAGAAACAGCATCAAGCATGTACACTGTGAAAACTATGTAAATAGGTACATGTGCAACCACGGCCACAGTGTAGGACAAAACACAAACTTAAGCAATATCTCTTTCAACCACGTGTGGAGCTGGGAATTAAATCACGAAAAACAAACAGGTTTCTGACATTAATGGAGAAGCATAGACCGAGATTATACCCTGTCATCTTTAAAAAAGTACATATTCTTATCAGTTTCTTGTACTTACTGGCTAACAATCTAATATCTACAGATATCAATGAAATCTTATTTTGAAAGGAAAGGGAAATAAATATATCACTTTGTTACGGACGCTATTTAAATCTAGGGTCAAATAAAGCTTCCATCTCTGAAGTTGTCGGGTTCTATGTTGCATATGACTGACTGACTGACTCTATTGATTCGACTAAGAATATTGACGCCAAAGGGTATTTACTGGCATAATTTCCCATACAATTATGATAAAGATAAAATAATAAATGTGACCTTGTATACTTTTGCATTTACGACAATGTAGCCTTAATGAATGAACAAACTAACAAGTTGGTTTGGTGTTCATGAAACCTGAAATATCGGAAAGATGAGCATACTATTATGCAATAATCCTTTCAGTATTTATTTCGTGAATATAAAAGATGGATTCGGTAGATTCAATATAGTTGCATATGTGATTATTTTACTAATTTGACAGAGGTTATCTTTTCAGTTCTAACAGATGTCAACTGAACAACTAAAGTAAACAAGTCCATTAACTAGGAAACTTATAATTTATAGTTACATTTACTCATCACTTATATCGTTCTAAAGATTTAAGATAAAATAAAAACTGAATTACAATTGAATTGAATATGTAAATTCCAAGTTTGATAATATTAATAGAATAGCTTCAAGATTCATATGATAATCTAATTTAGTTTTATTACAACATATAAATGGTAAGATAAAAAAAATACTCATGAGAACTATTGCACCGAAATAGCTCACCTTAAGGTTTTAGCAATTAAACCAAAAACTGTTAATGAAGGGATTTCGTGCTCAAGATTGAAGGTTATGGCATTTTTTTAAAATGTATTTCTGTATTTCTAGAAATTTGCATTCCCTAAAGCGTATTCGACATAAAGCAGAATATAAGCAGCTACGATGAACACGTTTCCAATGAAAAGTATTGAGTGCATACGACTAGAATGGAGTTTGCATATATCCCAAGACATAACAGCCGGTGAGGTAGTGTTGGATACAACCTCGTCGAATCCTGATATTCCTGTAAATCTAGTATGCTTTTGCATGAGAACCAGACAGTTGCTAAAGCACGTTGGACCTCAGGATGTTAGAGGTGGTGGAAAACTCATTTATGTAACACACCAAAGTACTTTTACAGACTATATAAAGTGTTATTAAATACAAGTGAAACATGGTTGGCAGCTAACTTTTATTCATTAAAGAGAGAAACTGGAGCCCGAAACTTTTACAACTTTGGAAAGCATTCATTAACATAACCAAGTGAAATAGTAAGGGAATAAGTAAAATCACAGAAAAGAGTGAATCGCTAACATGAGAAGTGACGATATACAGAAACTCACCTTACGTAGGTTGCTTTTTTGAAAGGACATAATCTGTGATTGAAGATCAACAGTAAGACCTGTCATAGACTTTGGCTGATCATTTGATGTGCTTTCTTTTTCAACCCCAGCGGTGGGACATGCTGGAGGAGGTGGTGGAGGAGCAGCTACGGAACTGGGGAATATGGGTGGGGGAGGTGGTGGCGGTGGGGCAGGGATCTCATAAAGGGGAGGTGCAGGTAGAATTGGTGGTGGTGGTGCGACTGGCTTAGGAGCTACTTGTGGAACAGGTGGTGGGGGTGGGTGTTGTATTGTAATCGACTGAGAAGGTGTAACAGAACCAAGATTTTGTCGACGGGGTGCGGAGGGTGGCGGAGGTGGTGGTGGTCTAGGAGGAGGAACATGTGCTGGTATGTTACGTCTATCACTTTGAGAACCGTTGAGTTGTCGTTGTATCTAAAAAGCAAAGACATGTATATGATAAACTAGGTATAAGCTAAAACAAGTACGCATGTCAAGTGAGTGAAAACGGTGCTATGAAATACATACAAAAATACTATGGAATATTTTCAGACTATATATCTGATAGACAGGATATTAATGGATTTAGCAACAACCACAATAAATTGTGCACAACTACAGTCATTACTTATCATGGATACAGACGTCTACGGCTAAGTAGTATTTGCTAAATTGTTGGACAACTACAACAAAACAAAGATATATGAAGTTACATCCCACCCCAACTAACACAGTCAAAGATGAACCAAACTGAATGCAATATAGGTAGAATGTTGGTTCCTTAAGTAAGTTTGAAGCTTGAGTTAAGTTATATATGCATCATCAGAAAACAATTTACTTGAACAATAATAATAATTTGTTGCAATATATTCAGCTGTAAATTATTGTTCTAGTTATTTTACACCAACTGATATAAGAGTTGTATATCTCTAAAATTCGTAGGTGGTGTATTACCTTTAAACTATTTTGCTTGACTGAATTGTGTAAAACTGATGAAGGATTTGAGGACGACGACATTGCTATTACAATCCCAGATAAATGCCCACAATCCACAGATAGCCTCAGAAATAGGAAATCTGCTGCAACTAGTCATTAAGCGTAGTTTTCAACCATCGGTTTACTACGAATCTAATTATCTTCTTGAATGCTAACTTTATTGCTGTATTCCACAGTTAGGATAACTGTTATAACAAAACGGATATTATAAAAGTTGGAAGTGGGTTTTTCGAATTATTATTATGAATTTGTGGGATAATTATTAAGCAATCGGATAATATATACCTATTCCTTTCATCATAAGCTTTCGATTAACGCATTAACTACTGTTAAACTATTACCCATTCTAATCTGTTGTCAGTATGCGATTTACAGTCTCTCCTTTCCACAGCCAGTTTCGGATCGTTCATACATAATTTTTATTTTGTACTTTATAGTGCGATGTTGCCTGGTATGTCTGTATATAAACTACGTCTGCTTGAAATTCAACGTTAGTGAAGGCTGATTACCGACTTCTGAACTGAAGGGCAATGCAGAGAGAGGAGCTACAAGATTTTGGATCAATAAGAACACAGCAGATGAATCAATGTTACTAGTCCTGGTTGGGCGCAATGAATCAGAGATACTCAGTCATAGAAATCGGGATTCTGATTGATGGTTTGGTATACGTTATTAAACAGCGGACATAAGCCATAACAATTACGTATAATGAATGGGACGATTTTTTATTGCGTAGTTTAGACTATTCACTGATATAAGTTCAGATACAACATTGATTTCTTCATTGTCATGGTACTGGATTTTGATAAAACCTTACTGATTCAGATAAACTTAAATTAACTTTCCAGTTATTAATGGTATTTACTTCATAATTTGAAGTTAGATCACGTTAAGACACTAACACATAAGCTGGAGATAATCAATGCAACAATTAAGTAATCATAAGAAAAACGTTTGAAAATTTATAATCAAGACGTATGACATCGGTAATACATGGATTTCATGATAAACAAATTCATAGTTGGAGTTACTAAGTTTAAACATGACAATTTTTAGATGTTAAATTTATTCTAATGAAACCAATCACATAAAAAAGCATGTAATTTATGTTCATGTAACGGTTCCTCATAATATTTTAGAGGAATTTATAAATAACCATAACTTAAGTGCAAAAGAACACTTGTAGATTATATGATTAAATTAATTATATATTGCGGGAAGCGTATACTTTATTTTGATCATTAAAGTTACCTTACATCATGGAAACAAAGTTTCTGAGTAGCGTCGGTAATGTATTTGTTCAATGTTTCAGACTATAAACATTATGGACACAATTTAATGAGTCATGTTCACTCACACTTAACCTTTTCTGTATGCTTGGTCGTCTTGCAATGTCCAGTCAAACAAATAGAAAATTAGTGATAATTATCATGAACACTAAACATTTTTTTTTTAATTACACAGTTGTTTGGTGTGTTTGAATAAATGTTATCATAATATCGAAAAGTATAGGTGTATGGAAACATTAAGATGGAAGAGGTAAGAAAATACCGGTTAATACAACCAGTTTAATCTTAGTAAAATGAAACACTCAAAATGTCTGAGTCAAATATGCAGTTTATGATAATTTACAAAAATGTACACGTTTTTTCGATAAATCAGTAACTAAGTTATGTTAATTATCTAGTAATAATATGTATAATAAATAGATAAGCAAAGAACGACGTAGAACCTTGGAAAAAACTGAATAGGTTAACAATGTACATAATGAATAAGATAAAATTAATATAAAAGGCGTGTGGAATTTATCAGAATAAAGTATCTAAAATATATTGAAATAGTCTACTTATGTAAACATGGGTTTCTTACTAAAACTTCTTGATTTTTTATTGATTAATCAGTTAGACAGCTGTCGATAACGTAGAAACTACCACAAATGCACATCAACCCAAGTTACCATACGATAAATTGTCTTTTAAGCTATTGCATCGTCTGAACTCAGTAACGCATTAGCGCTATTGATACGAACCACTTTGTAAGGAAATTTATACGTAGGTACACTGAATTGTAGATGTTGAGTTTTATCACGTGAAGCAAAGATTTACATAATAACAATATACAAAAATCCAAACAACCGTAATTTAGACTTGTGTATGAAGTAAGGATAAAAGCAATATTAGATCACGTTGAGTAAAATACGTTCTGAATTTTACTATTATTATTAGACTAATATTTTTTTAAAGACGCAAACAAGGTAATTAGTAATTATAAAAGATCCTTAGTTTATTTTGCCGATTATTCTAGTACCTATTTATCTCAAATTTGAAATATAACACGGTGAATTGTAAATAGACATTTCTACTTTTTATTTGACTATCGGTAATTTATTTACAAATGTATGTACTCAACTTTGATCCGTACATTTTATATGAAGCTTACTGATAATACTCATTTGCCTAGACAGTAGATACAATGCGGTTCAAAACTCGAATGAATTGATACAATCTACACTACATAAGTGTTTTAGAACTGATCATCACAGATAGGCACGAATTCATACCATGATGTAAATACATACATTTAGAGCTCCAGCAGTTTCCTATTGATTATATTTCGTCAAGTTGAATAGTTACAGTTGAGGACTTAGTTAATGATTCGTTTAACTGTTACAGCATTTATTCGATTTTCTACTATTGAGTTGTATATTTGAAATTCGCTTCAGCTAATTCGGATTAAACAGTCATATAACATTACGAACATCCAAACTTACACAGAATGTGTGGCACAAAGCTGAGTGCATGAAAATGTACTTGATCGCCAGATTCTAATTATTTATTGTTACATAAATTCAATAAACTATAGCCATTTTACAGAATAACAATAAGATTTTAGATACAATAATGTGATTTACTCGTATTTTTTTTGTAATTTAACAAAAATCAGTCATTTAAATGTAAAATTTGATCTGAACAAGTTGGCAAAACCACATGAACATACCACTTACATGAATTAGTGTTCAGTGTAAATCAATATGTAGAGGCGTTGATCACTATTATAATACTCTATTTAGTAACAAATACGTCTTATCAAGTTTTTTTCAGGAAGTAGAAATAAACTTTCAAAAATTATTAGGTAACGAGAATAATAGAAAATCGAGTCATCGTGCAGTAGAACAGATGTAATAAATATATGTAAGATTTTTGACAGAATTCTTTCTCGATAAACTTCTAGACCATTAACCAGACATAAATAGGATCCTATACAAACACGGTATTTTAACCTGAATTGATAAATCTCAGAAATGATGTATACACAACGCTATCAACATATATTATTGCTACTTACCTCTTCTAAACCACCATGTTCACGGGCGAAATTGTAGACAAACGTTCGTTCGCTTGGTATATTCATAGCATCTTCACGTCCAATAGCACGCAGTATGTTGCGCATGATTGCGCTTTCTTGTGAAGATATATCAAATGTCTTAGCTTCTCTATCATAACCAACATGTTCAATATGACGAAAATTTGAAGGATTACTGATATCTTTTGATGTAAGCTTCTGCTATATAAAAATATAAACATGTATGTGAATGAGAACTATAATAATAACAATTACTAATTAAGCGAAAATAAACAATTGTACAATGAATATTCAAGTAGTTTTAAAGAAATTTTAAGCAAACGAATAAATAATGAATAATGGTCAATAATTCCGCATTCCCAATGGACTAGTAAGTCAGTAAGGTTGAGCGATTAGTGTTGATTTACTGGACTGAAATGAAAGCACAGAATAATGGCAAAAACTTTTGGTGTTTGAGACAATACATATAGAGCCTGGGTTTTAACAGATAAACTGATAATCACCAGTAAATGCCTGTATAAAAGTACGTTTAATAATATCAATAATAATGGTAATAATAATAATAACAAAAGTAATAAAGCTTTCCAAATATAATCCAATCAACAACAGAAGAGGAAAATCTCCATAACTAGTACAGATCCAATTGAACCACAGCTCATGTTAAAAATAATTATTATAAAGAACAATATTTTTCAGTATAATTGGTTGACATCTAATAGTCAATCAAGCCTATTATCCAGAAGTTGGAAGACATGAAAATGTATCAAAAAGACAGATAAATTGACGTAAAGAATCATAACGGCCTACATAATTTTAGATTTGCGTACTTTAAAAAATAATAATAAAGGGAATTCAACAGAAACAGAGAAATACTGAAATAAACAATAACCATAGGAATGTAGACGGAATAAATAAATACCGATATAATATAGTGCTTAAAAGTAAAACCAATCACTGAGATTCAAGAACAGATGTGTAGAACGTTTTGAGGAAATCGTGAATAGGCCAGGTCCACTGAATCCATCGAACATCGAAGCAGCACACAGAGCTTAATGTAGATGTCACTCCAACAACGACCGGAGAAATCAGGATGGTGATCGGATAAATCAATGGTGGGAAAGCAGCATGACCTGACAATATATCAGTCAAAGCACTGAAGTCAAATATAGAGGTAACTGCAAACATGCTTCACCTTCTATTTGGAAAATCAAGTGCCACCGACACATTGGAAAGAAGGACATCTCATCAAGATACCAAAGAAAGAAGATCTGAGCAAATGTGAGGACTAAAGAAGAATCATATTACTGTCAGTGCCAAAAAAGATTTCAATAGTGTTGACGAACCGGTTGGAAGATTCAGTATATATCGAGCTTCGAGATCAACAGGTCAGATTCCGTAAGAATCGGTCGTGCATAGACCAAATCGCCACACTACGGATCATCGTTGAACAATTAACTGAATGGAACTCGTCACTATATATCAGCTTCCTTGACTATGAGAAAGCATTTGACAGTGTGGATAGGAGGACTACATAAAACCTTTGACACTATCGTGTACCTGAGAAAATCGTCAACATCATACGGAATTTATACGATGGACTATACTGCAGTGGTGCACGGAAAGACAACTGACACGCATTCCAAGTGAGGACGGGAGTCAGACAAAGTTGCCTACTCTCCCTTTTTCTCTTCCTTCTGGTAGCTGACTTGATTATGAAAACCTTGACATCAGACGAGAAGTACGGAATAAAATGGACAGGTTGGGCGCAACTTGACGATTTGGACTTCACAGATGACCTGGCTCTTCTATCGCATACACACGAACAAGTGCAGATAAAGACAACTGGTGTAGCAGCAGTCTCTGCATCAGCAGGCTATGGTATACACAAAGAAAAAAGTAGGATCCTCAAGCACAACAAGGTGAACACCAATCCAATCACACTTTGTGGAGAAACTCTGGAAGATGTGGAACCTTTCACGTACCTGGGTAGCATCATCGATGAACAAGGAGGATCTGATGCAGAAGTAAAGGCGAGGATTGGAAAAGCAAGGACAGCATTCATACAGTTGAAGAATATATGGAACTCAAAACAGATATCTGCAAGCCAACATCAAACTCAGAATCTTCAATACGAGCTTCAAGACAGTTCTACTGTATGGAGCTGAAACTTGAAGGACTACTACAACCATTATCAAAAATGTACAAATATTTATAAATAGTTGTCTACACAAGATACTCAATATCCGTTGGCCGGATACAGTCAGCAACAGCCTATTGTGGGAGAAAACAAACCAGCTTCCAGCTGAAGAGGAAATTAGGAAAAGACACTGGGGGTGAATAAGACATACATTGAGGAAATCGCCAAACTGCATTTGAGGCAAGCGCTAAACTGGAATCCTGAAAGAAAACGGCAGCCTATACTTTTCTAAGAGGGTTAACAAGAGTAATTAGGTAAGCAAGTTAAAAGTAAAGGGAAAAATAGTAGGTGTATTTTTATTGGATGGAATCTTAAAAGATTGATTATATATATATATATATATATATATATATATATATATATATAAAAGATAAGCTGTTAATAAATTTATGCAGTCCTACCATATTTTAATTTGATCGTCATGAACTCTATTTTTAACCAGTTCCAGTTTAGACACCATAACAGTGTTACAAGCCGTTGAATGACGTTGCACAATTATTTTTATCAAGATTTACTGTTTCAATCGATCAATTGATTTCACGCTTTCATATACACTTTATTATGCTAACAGAACTAACTGATGATTGATTAATATCAAATTAAGCGTTGAAATGGTGATTTAAACGAATAACTAATTTATTGACAAGGGTACCAAACTGTTTTATACTACTTATATCAGATAATAGAAATTTTTTTATTATCACTGTTATTTTAATTGTTCTAAGCTATAAGTGACTCACTAGAGAATAATAATTACATGTCAACATTTCGATTGACATTCACCTTAAGAATGTGACTTCTCTTACATACACAAATGTACATATGCAAATAACTGCTTGTGTTATATAAATAAAGTATATATTCTTTTTTTACTCATAGAAATATTCTTTTTATAAAAAACCAAAATATACCCCAAGCAATAAAGTTAATCAAATAATAATTCTAAAAATGCAATGACTCAGTAATTTAAGAAGCAATCAAGTAGTCAATTGTTAATGTAATATTATGTTATAGGTTATCGTTTAACTGATTTACTATAAATGTTGTCAGAATGTTAATTTTAGGCGAATCTGCTCAGTCCTATGCATATATTGAAGACATTCAAGCTGAATGAAATCATAAAAGAGAATATGGCTCTATACAGAACTTCAAAATCTCAATCTTCTATATTTACTTTTATTTAAACACATGAACATTAGTATAAAGGGGTACCAAAATACGTATGCACAATACTTTATTCGATTTGTGTGAAAGATGAGATACTGCCTGGTCGCCCAAACCGGGGCAGGTGGTTTTCTTAGAGGACCACACTCCGAACCTTTGACCTAAAGGTCTAATCTACACGGCAGTGGAGCAAAGTTAGGAGATGCAGTCTCATGGTATACGGTGACGAACAATAGGTTCATACTCCTTTGTTTCCTTAGGATCCTGGAACCCATGAGCATCATTGGTTTAAAATCAGGGTTTTCTAACTCCTCCAGATGGATCCTCCGCATCCACCAAGCAAGTTAAGGCGCCGGACATTCGCTTTTCGTAAACAACACCCCCACCACGAGAAGTCAGTTAATAGGACTTCCCTGGTAGTGGTTGTATATGCGTGACCATGTGAGAGTATTTAGAGATGGAGAGCGGACTCTCTGCACCCTCGACCGTGCAAAGGCATTTGATACTATTCATACATAAGTGTCAATTTTAGCAAAATTCAATTCAACTTGTAACTAAATTAGAAAATAAATAAATATATTTGTAATATCCCAATTAGTAGAAAGATTAGATTTTCGAACGTTTCTTCAGAGAATTATTTATTCTCTGAAGAAGTGGCTTGCACTGGGTCACGAAACGTCCGAAAATCTAGTTTTTCTACTAATTGGGATATTACAAATATATTTATTTATTTATAACAATCTACCCAATGCTCAATTTATTCAAAATTATCAAATCAAAACTTGGTTATGATACATATAAATTAGAAAAATTTATATGCATTGGATTTTTCATTATTACATATGATCGATGATGTGATAGAAAAAACAAATGTTTAATAACTAGTATACTCATTTTTATGAATTTTCAGCTTCGCTTTGCCTAGCTAAAACTAAGAGTCAAAAGGTGTAAAGAGAGCATATTTTAAAAATGAACCTTTATGACCTAATCAACTAGAAATGAGTGTGTATATTCTAGGATTATAAGTTGCTAAATCAAATACACTTTTATGCGTAGTACACAGTCCCAACTAATAGTTGAATCTAATTAGCTGTGGTTCACTGATTAAAATAGACTTCATATTACTGGATTATGGCTCAAATGACTCTACTTTCATTTAAACAATTAGGTAATAACTCTAACTTACATTTGAAAAGAAATACAATCCTAATAAACTTGACTATAGACACCACTATTTAGTAGATCGACAGTATCGGAAATAAAACAACCATCTAACGAAAGATAAGTGAATACCAACGACATTTACACACAATTTTAGACTAACATTTTTCATGTATGAATGATTGTCAACACAGATCGACAAATTGAAGGCATTTTAGGAATGAATGCTTCAATAAATCCTACACAGAAATTTGGCTTAACAACTGAAAGTAAGTAACAGAATTACCTATAAATTTCGAAATGGAAAAGAACTGCAGCAACTTTTATATATACGCATCTTCCCCCTTTCTCCTCCCATTCTCATCATTTGTGTGGCGCATATGTATCTGGTGCCCTTTGTACCAATATGTATGGGTTTAAATAAACAAATAAATAATAAATAAACTGCAGCAACTAGCAGGAACTCATGTTACCTTTTGAAAGTATGTTAGAATACTTGGTTATTTTAAAAACAATAAGACAGAGAAAACTAACCATAAATTAATTGCTAAGATTTGATAGTCTATCTATATGAACTCTATTTAGTTAAGTGTGGGAGAAAAAATATAGGCAGGCTATAAAATCAGATATTCGTGATTCGACAAAGTACATCAGAATCTCGAAAGGAAGTCATAACTAACAAATGACTCAATGAATTTGTAAATGATAAGTAAGATTTAACTAATATTCCGATAGAGCTCACTCTGAAACCTAAAGTAAATTAAGAATTTGATACATCCAACTAAGCTAGATACGTTGTACAGTTCAGGACAAATTCCATTTAATGATAACAGAAAGTATAGAGTTGATAAACTTAATTAACTAATGATCAGTAATATATGGCATAAAGATTTGATGAACTACACTGTCTAAACACACACAAAGCTGACAACTGTTATCTGAATGTACACATTGATGGGATTGATTAGTAACTATCTTACGTGTAGCTATCTATCAAACATAACTGGGAGTTGTAAATATTTCTTTTCAACACCAACTTGGCGACAATGTAGGCATAAAAAATATTCAAGTGCACTTACGTCCAAAAGATGATCCAATAAACTAAGTTAACAACTTGGATGAAAATAAAAGCAAAGATGTTAAAAATATTCTCAAAGTATTTTACATTTACGGCGATTATGAATTAGATCAGACTGTATCAGTTTAATAGCTAGATATAAAACAGTAGTGTGGTGTGGACAGACATAAGTAATATGTAGCAGGAATTGGAAATGAAATGCTTACCAGTAGAAGATTGAGAATACAAAAAGAAGAAGGAAAACAGAGAGTAATCGGAATAATAACAGGATTTGAAGAATGATGGAGCATGTAAAGGACAACATAAGGAAGATATACAAATGATACATTTGATGTATGGTTTTTCATATTTTAGAAAGGCAGTTTGATTTTGTATAAAACAATAAATTCGTTTACCATACCTGAGATTTTGTTTACGGTAAGTTTACGGTAAGACTTAGAAAATTTAGTATTTTTCTTTTAAAAAAACAATAGTTACAGTATTATTAAATTTATTTAAGCTTAATACGTAAGTATACTTTACAAAACAAATAAGTGTGGTTGCATATAATTGCCGGTAAACTAATAAAACTAAGAAATGCATAAATTGTATAAATAATTATTAAGGTTGGTAAGATATACAAGTCATTCTTATATTATAACGTTTCTTTAAAAAAACACTCTAATTATAGAAACAGTCCTTTTGTAATGCCCGAAAACACATGTGGGGACAACCAAATGTATTTTAACACAAAATTACAGTTGTTTGGTAAAATGTGAAGGCCACACGTTTAATCCTTCATTTGCAAAATGTCCATTAATTGTCTCAGACTTTCTTGTTCCTTCATTTTCATACTAATTACTCTCTGTTCCCGTTCTCTTATATTGGATCTTCCCAACCTTCTGCTGCCAGACTTTTCACTCTCAATTGGTGTTACATATTACATATATCGACAGACATAAGTAGCATACACCACACTTTAATTATATTTTTAAAATTACCAATCATCATAAAAATAACTTCTATTCACAGAAATCCAATCAAAATTCGGATTTCATTTATACTAATTTAAAATAATACAGATTCATGATAAAACGTTTTTAATAAATGTGAATTGATGGGTTAAGAAAACCGACTTCCAACCATTGAGTAGTCGATTGAAGTTAAGTTATATTTAGTATTATTTTGTACAATTCGATAATATATCTAGTACTTGGAAGAATAAATATAATTCAAAAATCTGTACATCAACGTTAAGTAAAAATCTCTATACACAATTCAATTTCAAGTTGGGTTTTGTTTTACAAATGACTAAGTATCTCATGTGACTAACAAAGATGATAACAATTGTGAAAAAAATATTATGAAAACGAGAATTAATTATTCCACTGGTAATGATAATCAACAGTGGGATGGTAATAATGGTGATGTTGTAAACAACTCATAAAATACTATTAAATATTTATCTTGGTAGATGTCTGCCAAAACATTAATAAAAAACACTACCAATCTTACTAAAAATAGGAAAATTATATGAATAAAATCAGATATGAGAGTTGATGATCATTTGCACCTAGTTGTTTAAAAAGTTGACAGCCTAGTGAACAGAAAGGAAATAACTAATTCAGTATACATAACAAAACGACTGAGTGCTCATAATCTTTTCCAGGGATAATATATTCACTGAATTCATTAAGGGATGATGTCACGACTAAAATTAAAAGTAAACAGTCAGTCAGCTACAACGTAGGACCAGGCACATATATGTATCGGTTCAAGTTTATTATTATTTATTTATTTATTTAATCACATATATATTGGTACAAAGGGCACCGGATACATATGCGCCACACAAAATAATGAAAATGGGAGGAGGAGGAAGATGTGTATATATAAAAGAAGGAAAAAAAGAAAAGGAGAAGAGTAATGATGGGGAGAACTGAAATGTACAACCAGAAGAGCTCTCTCAGTTAGGAAAGTTATAGCCACTCTTTATGAAGAAAGTAAAACAAGGTTACAGCAGGATCGCCACTGGCTTCTATTCTGAGCCATATCTGATAACGTCTCTAGCCACTGTGTTGCACCATCTCTCGGACCCCAGCCAGGAAGTCGTGAAGGACCAACGGAAGCTAGCCCTTTGCAGCTTTCTTTCATACCACGACACCATGTCATACACTGACCTCCTCTCCGCTTTTTCCAACCAGTCCCAGAGTCGGCAAATAATGCACGACGTGGAATTCTCTGGGACGACATTCGTAAAACATGTCCAAGCCACAGAAGTCGGTGTTTCAAGATGGTGACACCAATTGAATTATCGTCTCTGCGCCCGAACACACGATGCCGAACCTCTGCATTACTAACATGGTGTTGCCACTGGATGTCAGCAATCCTTCGGAGACAACGATGATCGAACACAGAGAGACGTCTAACATCCTCAACTCGGAGAGGCCAGGTTTCACAAGCATAGAGCAAAACTGCTCTCATCGACGCGTTGTAAATCCGACCTTTTACAGCCATATTAAAATCACAAAGGCGCCAAAGATGGCCCAGATTGGCATAGGCCGCTCTGGCTTTCATTGTACGTGCATCAATCTCATCACTCACGCCACCACCAGCAATTATGTAGCTACCTAGATACACGAACATCTCAACTACTTCAATCTGCTCACCATCTAGGGTGAGTACAGAATGAGATTCCTGCCAGTCTTGTAGGAGTACCTTGCACTTGGAGGGTGCAAAGCACATGCTGTACCTACGAACATTGATTGCCAACTGATTAAGTGCGGATTGCATGCCTTGGGCATTATCGCACAGTAAGACAATATCATCCGCATACTCAAGGTCGAGAAGTCGTTCTCCAGGCAACATATCCACACCGCCATTACTTACATCCATCAGAGCTGTTTCTAGAATGTCATCGATGGCAAAGTTGAAGAGGAATGGTGAGATCGGGCAACCCTGCCTAAACCCACTGCTCGAATGGAACAAGGGAGAAAGGTGGTTGTATGCCCTCACTCTGCCTGAGGTGTTCGTATACAGGGCCTTTAAGATGTTAATGAACTTCTCAGGCACACCCTTCTTCAATAGACAATCCCAGAGAATAGTCCTGTCCAACGAATCGAAGGCAGCCCTGATATCAAGAAACACTACGATTGTTGGCCTGCGATAAGTATGACGGTGTTCTAACATTTGGCGGAGGGTGAAGATGTGATCAATGCATCCTCGACCAGAACGAAAACCAGCCTGCTACTCGCGAGTCAATCGTTCTCGGGTTTTAAACAACCTACGAAGAATGATAGAAGCCAATAGTTTGGACGCAATCGGAAGTAGACTTATCCCCCGATAGTTATTACAGGAACAACGTGAACCCTTTTTAAAGATAGGGACGACTATTGACTCATTCCAAGATGTTGGAACACTTTCTTGCTCCCAAACCTTTGCAAACAACACAGTCAATTCCTTGGTCAGAAAGTCACCACCATCTTTAAAAAGAGCAGGAGGTAAGTCATCTGGTCCTGGTGATTTGTAGCGTTTCAAGAGTTGGAGTTCCTTGAGGACTTCCGCCTCGTTTGGTGGATCAGTCGTCACCGGCCATAGGGGGCAGGACAAACTGGTTGATGTTGCCGGAGCAGCAGGCCAGTTGAACTGCCTTTCGGAAAATTCCGCCCATCGTCCAAGACGTCGAGAGATATTAGTGATTGGCATCCTATCATCCTCGTAGATTGTTTCACTCACACCAGACTTCTTGCTGCCAGTGGCTCGGATGAGTTGGAAGAGCTTCCGGCAGTTACCAGATGCACCTGCTGCTTCCATCTCATTAGCACGCTCCGACCACCATGCTTCTCGGTCCTTACGCAAGCTTTGCCCAATTTCCTTACGTAACAGCCTTCGTTTGTGGTCATACTCACGGTCACCTGGAGTAGACCGACGGACTTCCATCAGTTGTAAGGAGCCAGAAGAAACCCAGTGCTTGTAAGCGGGACGTTTCGTGAATCCGCAAGTGGCTTTACTCGCCATTTTCATGGCGTCGTGAAGATGCAACCAATGCTCATCTATACTTTTCGGTGGGATGATAGCTAGCCTAGAAGCTAGCTCCGCTCGATACTTACTTGCAACAGAAGTTGCAGCCAGTTTACTAACACCGATCCGTTGATGGCGGTCAATCCTTCGGCCACTGAAAATTAAGGTGAGATTGGGGCAGACCAGGGCATGATTAGACTCCAGATAGGTACTCCAAAAGGAGCGGCAGTCTTGTACACAACCACGCCAGCGGTAGCTGATCGTGATGTGATCAATCTGAGTCCAGGCTTGGGATGCAGAGGGAGGACGCCAGGTGGCACACCGGCGATGACTGTGCCGGAAGTTGGTGCTGGCCAAAAACAGGTTGTGGTCTGTGCACAGTTGCAGCAAAAAGGTCCCCGTTATCTGTCCTGCGACCAAATCGGTTCAAGTTGCCATAACCTCATTAGCACAACAAGATGAACACCGAATCCATAGAAGTAGTTAATTTAATGGTGTTTATATATAAAATAAAGATTGTATATAAGGACATAGTACAAGAAGAAAGACAGATGTGAAGCAATTCTAATCTCATAGTTTAAGGGAAAACAGTGAGTGTAAACACCTACACCATTGTGATCGATTTTGAGCTATGTCATGCAGTCTTCAAACATTGGTTACGATATTCACGCGGACCCCAACCAAGTAGTTTTCATCTACCAACATGACTCAGACCAGAGGTTAATGACTTCAATGACTAATGCCACGTTTTGGTTTGGCCGCCCCTAACTTTCTTCCAAACATCGCCAATACTAGTAAGCATTGCGCGCCATGGTAATCGATGTTCAAGCATACGTAACACGTGGCTCACCCATCTCAGTCGATGAAGATTCACAACCTCGCCAACTGATTTACCATCATTCCCTAATACCCTGCGTCGAATCTCACTATTACTTACCCGGTGATCCCAGCAGAAGCGAGCAATATTTCTAAGGCATCTGTGGTCAAATACTAGTAACTTACGAGTATCTTCTAATCTTAATGGCCACGTTTCACAACCGTAAAGTAGAACAGAACGAACTGCCGCTCAGTATACTCGTCCCTTAATTGATAGATGGATATCTCGTCTTCGCCACAGGAGACGTAAGTTGGCAGAAACCAAACGAGCTTTCTCAATCCGTGCAGAGATTTCGTCAGACAATAACCCATTAGGGCTGATCAGACTTCCAAGATAAGTGAAGTTGTCGACTCGTTTGATTGCTTCGCTACATATCCGTAGGTCAAGTGTTGACACAGGCCAATCCTGGAGTGACAATTTACATTTAGGGGAGGAAAAACGCACCCCAAACATCCTGGCATTGTTACTCAGTTCTAACAGAAGACTCAGTATTTTGTCAGCGTCTTCATCAAACAGGACTATATCATCCGCGTATTCTAAGTCGATAAGTGGACCTCCTGGTAGGAGATCAATTCCTGAAAATTCATTTGATGAGAGCGCTATTTCCAGCAGTAGTTCTATGATGAAGTTAAACAAAAATGGGGATAGTGAATAGCCTTATCGGACACCAACTAAGGCTGTAAAATCAGATGACAGTTCGCCATAAGCTCTCACTAGACTAGTAGTGTTCGAATAAAGAGCTTTCACAAGGTTTATGCACTTCTCAGGTACACCTTTAAGTTACGGACACTGCCACAGAACCTCTCGGTCTACCGAGTCAAACGCTGCTTTCAAGTCAAGAAAAACTATCATTGACTGACACCGATAAGCATGCTTGTGTTATAAAACTTGACAAATAGTGAATATGTGGTAGATGCAGCTACGACCGGGTCTGAAGACAGCCTGATTTTCTCGTATTTGCAGTTCACGGGTCTTATTTAGGCGCCCGATAATTATTGAGGCTAGTATTTTAGATGCTATATTAGTCAAACTAATCCCTCTATGGTTATTACAGGATGATTTTGACCCCTTCTTATATATTGAGACAATCAGAGATTGTGCCCAGTTACATGGGATTACGTCCAACTCCCAGATTTTAGCTAAAATATTAGTCAACCTAGTGGCTAAAATTGGACCACCATATTTAAAGACTTCTGGAGCCAATCCATCTGGACCAGCTGCTCTTCCTCGTTTCAGATTACCTATAGCCTTTTGAACTTCAAGTAGGGTCGGGGGGCCTACTTCAATGTTCCATTCAGGTTTTCTAGGAATAGTGGGTAGTTGTGCAGTAGCTGAAGGCCAGCTAAACTGCTCCTTAAAGTGTTCCGCCCATCGTTCTAAACGTTTGGGTTGAGAGCAGATAAGGGTTCCGTCTTTTTCGGAGATTGTCTCACTTACACTTGACTTCTTAATTCCGGTTTCCTTTATTAGTCTGAATAGTTGCCTGGTGTTTCCTACAGTCGCTGCCTTTTCCATCTCTTTTGCTTTCGTTGCCCATCACTGCTCACGATCATTCTTTACACTTTTAGTTAACCTAGATCTAATTTGTTTACGCTCTTCGTCATGTTCAGAGCCTGATGGGATGAGTTTACGCGAATCCATCAGTGAAATAGATTTAGAAGAAATCCACTGGTTTTTTGGAACCCTATGGTTTAAATGACTAATAGATGTAACTGCTGTTTCCACAGCTGTTCGTATGTCTTTCCAAGCAGCATCTGTGTCAGTCTTGTTTACAGAACTGCCTAGATGTGAACTTAGTTGTTTCTGGAATTCGCATTTGGCTTTCTCGTCCTCCAGTTCAATCCTAATGGGTCTTCTTAGTGTACTTTTCCTGCGTCCATTGAGGCGCAGACAAATGCGCGCTCGTATTAAAGCGTGATCAGAGTCTAAACAAGTATTCCAATACGAGCGACAATCTTCTATTGAGCCTCTCCAACGATGACTGATGACAATATGGTCTATTTGAGTCCATCGTTGGTTTAGTGCAGGTGGTCGCCATGTTAGACGATGTCTCTCCTTATGTTTAAAATTAGTGCTTGCTAGAAATAAACGATTGTCTGAGCATAGTTGCAACAGACGATCACCATTATCTGTTCGTTGAGCCGGAATACTAAAACACCCACCTAAATGTCTTTCTGTTTGATTCAAGCTGCCTACCTGGGCATTAAAGTCACCCGCTATGAGTACTATGTCTGAGCGCTTAGCTTTCTGAAGAAGCTCAGAGAGCTTTCTGTAAAAGTCATCTTTCACTTCATCATGGCTGCAGTCGGTGGGAGCGTAGGCAGAAACAACGAAAAGGCAACGACGTGTGTCCCTATCCTTCCGAGTTCTTACGGAGCCATTCAGCCGGACAGCACACAGGCGACTGTTAACGGGGATCCATTCTAATAGTGCCTGTTCTGCCCTTGTACTTAGTGCTATGCCTACACCTGCAAGTCCGCGAGAACTAGCCAACGGGTCGCCAGATACACGGAGGGTGTATTTCGTTGGCTGTCCATTTTGGCGAGGTGAGGTCAAGTGAATGACCACACTGGGATCCTGTATGCGTGTTTCGGAGACGCAGAATACATCAATGGTACGAGATTCTAGGGTTTTAGCTAAGGAGGCCTGTTGACCGATTTGGCATAGGGTACGTACGTTGAAGGCTCCAATGTGTAGTTTGGAGCGAGGTTTTAGTAGATCTGGGACAGCGTTTCGCGCACTAGAATCGTTGGCCATGGTGACACTTGAGGAGGAAACCGGAACAGGAAGTTTAGTGTTGAAAGTCAAGGTAGAAGGAATAGTAGGAATTGAAGGAGATTGATTATGAATACGGTGGTCTTGAGTGCTGTTAGGGGCATGAGGGCAGTTATCACTTCCCGGTTGCCCACACCGTGGAAGGGTTCTCCTGGGGGTACCTGAAAAGGAAATTGGGTTAGAAGTGGTCTTAATGACCTGAGAGCGTGACCGCAGTGCCCAAGGGACAACTGCTTGAGGTCGGTCACACACGACCTTTTTGTGGGTAGTTTTTGTGTTAGCTCCGTTCTTCAAAAAAAAACCTTACCGCCGGAGACGGATATCCGTGGGATAAGGCGAGGTGTGCATTTTTAGGGCCGACCTTTTCTAACCCCACCCCTCCTTGTGGGAAGGCAGCATCGCTGTCATGCTGGTTGTCTGAAGGAAACACCTTACTGCCGTCACACCTCTGTACAGTCGACAGTACGACTTCGCCTTCGGACCTTGGGTTTGCTGTTTTTAGTCTCACCGCTCTTCAACCGACCTGTCTGGCATGGTAGGACCTCGAGGAACGATTGTTCCAGCCAGCAGAGCTCGATTGCTTCATCACGATAGGCAAGCCCGACCACCACGTCAAGGTAGCAGCAACGGTCGGGACAGCAGGTAACTACTCAAGTGAGTATATACTTTAAGTGAATGAAGTAAAATTCGCACAAAAAAAATTTCAATGACAATCGCGAAATTTCCTAGCTATGAAGATAGGAGGCTGAAAATAAAACATCTTATTATGAAAGTCATTCATCAACTAAGTATTAGCACAAATTAATTGCTGACCGAAGTATTAAATATCTGGCATAATTGTTATCTGCGCTTGAAAGTATTTTAATATTTAAAAGCAATTTAAGAATAATATTAGGAGTTAGTCAGCAGCATGGAAACAAAAAAGAAGCTATAGAAATTACAAGACAATAAGCAGAGGCATACAATGAATATTAAATCATACAAGATGTGAACTCACCGAGTTACTTTCAAGAGAAAATAGGTTGGTTAGTATCTAAAATTTATTGGCAGAGTACAACGCAAATATCAAAAGTGGAAAGATATGTAAATACGGGTTACGATGATCAGTTAAGCTTTTCCTGAAAATATATATGTTATTCAGGTTAATTAGACTGATTCATCACAAACAGACCGTAAAAAAATTCAGGAAGACAAGAGAGTTAATTAGTTAACTGTAAAACTCCCTAATAGATACTACTAGACACTACTACTAGTAACCAATTCAGTGTGATTCGGCATCGAACATGATTAAAAGAGAATATAGGCATAAAAATAATATCCATGTGATATCCCAGTTAGCAGAAAGACTAAATTTTTTGACTTTTCGTGACTCAGTGAAAGTCACTTCTTCAGAGAACACATAAACAAACTAACCCAAGTTTAAACACTAGTTAGATGATGTTAGGTTGATGATAAGTAATTTATTGATAGAAATAACAATAATAACATTAATGATTGGATAACAGAAGAGAAATCAAAAGTTCGATTTCCATTTAAAAATGCACCGAAAATGTATTGACCCTAAGTAAAAATAAAAACTAACTCGTCATAAATTTGTAGAACCTACTCCTAAGTTGAATACAGAACGAGTTAAATGACAAATGCTAGCAAACAACTAATCCGAAAAGTTTAAAATTAGGTAACAAATACATGTAGATCAACTATACACATAAACAGCATACCTTTTTTCCTTTAGATTTTGTTTTGCCCCTTATAGACATAACTCCTTGATCAGACAATTTTGTCGGATTTAAACTATAGATACCAGCTTGCACGATTGGTTGAGAACCGATAGTATGAAGATTTGATGAAGGCTTCTCAATAGCAGCTCCACGTATAGATCTTAAGCGACCGTTTACTGCATGTGCAAAATGTTTAGCCTCCTCAAGAGATGCGAAAGCAAGTCCAACTGGCCCATCATCTGACTGCATCACGTGAAAGCATTTTAGTTCTTCAGTATAATCCATTTCCAAAAATAATCTTTGCTCTAAGAGAGGAATCTTCCTCTACAAAGATAGTTTGTATTGGGAGCGAATAATTGAGAGCTGACTTACAATCACATCATATATTCTGATGAAATAATCCTTATAATTTTTGTCCTTGATACAACATACAACGCCACAACCTTTAAGCACCCAATTCGATTCATTTTCACCTTTGAAATAGCGTACCACAGCGGAAGCTAACGAATCACAACCAGCTCCAAACAATGAGTACAATACAGAATTCTCTTCGTTAGTTAGTAGAACTGAAGTTCCACCTACTGGAGCGGACTATCAAAGGTCAAAAGCAAACGTGTAGAATCAGAAAACGCCTTTTAAAGGAGAGTAAAACGAGAACGTCCCAGCCAAATAAAGAAATAGACAGATCATAGTTAATAACAACACTTCCACAAGTAATGTATCAGAAAAATGACTCTACAGTAAAGTCTTGTCTCGTCTAAATCCTTGATGACAGTATACTACTAACGATCAAGATTACTGTTAACGGGATACGGATTGGATTAAAGCATTTTATTTATTTATTTAAACACATAAATATTGGTACAAGGGGGCATCAGATATATATGCGTAGTCCGTGAAGGATTGTGTTTGACTATGTCGACTAGTCATTTTTTTGTCAACCAGTCCAGGCGCCTACGTGGCGAAGACTCTAGAATCTTCTTGTGTAAAATTATAGTTATACTGACGTTTCTCTTATGATTTCTACTTTCATTCAACCTCGTTTACTTGGGATATAATTACGTTCCTGTTCAGCTCAGTCGTAATAAGATATCATAAAAATTACCCAAAATAACTTCCGGATCGAGGGCACTTTCTTGGTCCGGTTTATACACCTAAGAGACATAGGACTAGGAGACCAATGCACAGCTGCATAGAGTGGTTTTAGATGTACGAAGTCTTTAATGCTCGAATAAAAAATGTGATAAGAGTCGTTAAGTGCCTAAAATGAGATAAAAATGGATGTCGGCAAACGTGAGCTGAAGTAATCAGAAAACAGCAGTACTAACCACTCACTTCCCGAAAAGAAACCGTGAGGTTAGTTTTCAGACATACGTTGCTTATACCAGTAATTTAGTAGATGAGTCAAAAACAATACAATATAGTGATCTATAACTTTAAACCTTTCAAAACACCCTAGACTTTTGAAGATTAAAAGTTGGTTAAGTTTGCTGATATAACACCTCACTTTTCTATAAAATCCCAGATAGGCATGGTATTTTAGTAGCTTTAAATCTACTTAATTTTCTGACTATTTGAGTGTACTTGGTAAACATAAATCTTTATCGACGTGGCTGAGAGTATTGAAATTCAACCCGTAAATAGATGCCGTTTTCACAAAATTTAAGCAGAAATATAAGATAATAAACAAAAACATCAAACAAAGATGTATAACTAGAAATACATGTTAGAATTGCATTAGGATAAGCAATGAAAACTCCAGCAAATCAAGTTAAGGTTGGAGGCGAGATAAACAACCAGTGGCTTTGGTTACAATAAGTATGGGAAGGAGTTAATCCATGAACACAGGTTTTATAGTAATGACAAGTCACAAACAGATGGTAAAGTACAACAAGCGTACATTGCAAAAATTACGCAAATAGTTTACGCTTAAATGAGAAATCACCAGACTGATACGGTTGAACTTGCAAGTGATACGAAGACGAAGACACTGGGTCATATTTAATAAATATTAAAGTTGTGAGTCACCAACCGACTTCAAATATTCTGTAACACATTTTATAGTCTCTATGATTTGCAAGTCAACAAAGCTAGAACTACTAGTGGCTTCTGATCAGTGTGGCCAGCTACTACGCCCAGTGACTTATTTCTATCCAAGCTACTTTAAATCCCGGGAATATCAAAATACAAAACACAACAAGAAACCTGAGGTTTATAGTGGCATATTATATTCATTTTTACATAGACAGAGAAGTAGTAACTGAATAGAGTACCACGTAAACATGCTCGCTCAAGTCCAGTACGTACTCAAAATAAACCTGGAAAAGAGGCTTTTGATAACGATATTGGCTATTAGAATCTAACTAGTGAACATTAAGTACTTAGTCAGTACAACAATACGGTACGAAGAAAAAACTTAGCATACTCTAATTGACCGAAGTTCTAGTACACAGTAAAAGATCAGCGTGGCGTTTTGGTAGATTGTCTAACTTGAAACCCTTACTTTATTTTTGTATTTTCTAAACAAAATAATCTTAAAACAATTGATGATAGAGAAGACATCATCAGAGGATGACAGTATCCTTGTCTGAATATAGAAAAACATAGGACTAGTAAAGTTACTGCCAATATGTCTTCGAGCTACTTTGAATTTCAGGTTTAACTATTACCTGGGAAACGAAGGGAGAACTTACTGTTGTTGTGGTAAGCTTCATAAAATGACTCAAACAACAATACATCCGGAAATCGCTGAAGCTATTGTAGTCTGTAGACTATGATAAAAAATATATATATACACGTATATAAATATCTCCGAATTATATATTTGTGCGCTAACGTATTACGATACTGGGGGACTGGGAATCAATTTGGATTAAGACTCTCCAGTCTGAGAGTAATAACAATCAATAAGTACCATGCTGAACACAAACCACAGTGACAGTCTTTAAGACTTGAGTAGAACATGCTTTTTTCACATTAAGAATGATAATCGGAGTATCAGAGGACTAGAAGTGTGTACGTGAACTCATCTATAGTTTTACCTATATCTTAAATTATCTGTACTAAAAACTCTACCGAATACAACCAGGGCAACGACGATTCAGACCTCAGAAACTAGTAGATCATTAGAACTAGTGATTAGTACAGACGGTGTAAAGTAAAATAAATCCCACAGATGCATAAGAAAAGGAGCTTACGGTCCGCATTTGTTTGAAACCGCGCCTTCCCGTGTCGTAGTACTTATACTTGTATTTCACCTGTAGAATAAACTCTACGTGTTAACACACTGTAACCTGCTTTGGTGAAATTAAATTTACTAAAAATCAAGGAAATTAAAAAATTCTTAAATACGTCGCCCCAAGGATATCTAATACCACTTATATTCAATATGTTTGCGACAAGCTGAAGTCAACAATTCGATTATTTTGCTACCGCGTCTTTGTGTTAAGGCACTGTTTCAGGTCTTTGTTATCGTCCAGTAATCCAGCCTCTCATTTCGCATAATAAGTAGTGATGCTGATCATCCTGATCTCCAAATTGACTCAGATTAATCATGCGATTTAAATGTCGTGGGCTAAAAATTAGTTCCAGAAAGAGTTTGCCAGTCTACACCAGTCACAGTAGCAACCACCAACACACCAAAAAATGGAAAATACCTTCATATTTGCAAAAACAAAAATGCAAATGATTAACTGTAATTCAAAACCTGAAAATAACTGACCACAGAAGCTTAGTGAAAATACAACTAGTCTTGAAGTTTTGCAACTTTAAACCAGTAACACCTTCTATGTTCGAAGCATTCCCAAACCAGTTGAAATCAGAAGTCAGACGAGAAGAGGTAGGAAAGATATATTTGATACGTTATCAATATATCGAGAAGCGTTTACTCTGATCTGGCAAGCGAACGTAGGAGCTGTGTCCCACGCTTGATCGTAACGTGATCTGGTACGGATGCATAACCGAAAGCCTTCAGTTAAATAAGTCCACTTAAAACAGTGTGGTCAGCATCCAATGTCGAACACTTAATGGGCTATTGATTTTGAGAATTTATTTGCAGCTACAGATCACTCCCCCCCTTAGTGAGGTAGTGATGCCCCTAAGACGTGGCCAGGCAGAAGTTTAAACCCAACGAATATGTCGTTGGTAAACAGTCCTCTGATAGCCTGCTATGTTTAGCAGCGTCTGGTCGACTTTCCTTACACTAAGGGACCATGAAGTACAACATAGTAATAATGAAACAAAGTACATTGGAAATTTCGGTTCCTTGTGAAACTTCGTCGTTCTTTTCCAGCCGTATTGGAAAAGAAAAAAATAGAACGTGTAAGTGCATTTCAAAATACACGTACTTGCGTAAGGACACAAGGTGAGCGGAAAAAATATATATAAACTAATACACTTGCGACAGCGTAAGGCGATTGTAAAAATACTCTTTTTATAAAAGAAATATATATAAAAATATAAAAAATTTATATGCTTTTCGAACGGAGAGTTTAGTCCTAACGTGATTTACATTTCTTAAACTTTTTCTGTGTTCTTACGCAACAAAAGTACCATTTCCGATCTAAATAGTCTATTCTGAGCTATACGTTCGGTAGATTACTTCTTTTCTGTATTTCACTCAACATAATAGTTAACTGTGGTTTTGCCTCAGCTCACGTGAAGACTAGCTTTAGCTTATCGTTAACTGCTTTTATACATTTTTGCCAGATTTTGTGTGCTGTGTATTTTTTTAACGGTCCTAAATTTACTGCTGGTATTTTTAAGACAGTCTAAATCCTTAACCATGAAAAATTCATGCAAAAGACCTGGTTGCCGTTCCGCTGTTACATCTGGCATGCAATGTGACAACTGCAAAGGTTGGTTCCACGAAGCATGTACAGATCTAACAGCAGCAGTCTATAGCAGACTCAGCAAGTCTGATCGTAGGTGGGTATGTGTTACCTGCAACACTGATACCGTAGTTATGTTGGGTACCATCATAACTTTACTAACAGGTCTGAGAGATAAGTTGTCTAAGAATTTGGTAAATGACAGTATCATGACGGGTAAAAAAATTGGAAGGCATAGGGCAAACAAGAAAAAGGATATTGACAGGTCGGCTATCGACGGTGCGGGTAAAAGCACAAGTGATGACATGCTGTAACTCAGCACGTCCTAAAATCGACTGTCATCGACTCTCTCAGTAAACTTGGGTCCCCCAGGGAAGAGTCCTTGAATAAGACAGTAGTTCCCAAAAACCCTGTGGGTGGTTGGACTCACGTTAACAGGAGTAAAAAGGCCCAAGCGTCCCCGCCGAAAATGAACACCCCAAGTACCGTGCGGAAATCAATCGATGCTGTGGCCGCACAGCCTACCCCCAAGACTGTCCGCCCCGTCATCACTGAGCCCAGGAATCGAAAACGCGCCTCGACATCCAAACAACAAGATACCACCCGAGGCTGCTTCGTGTTACACTTAATAATGCCTCCGACGTAGAGGACGTCCTGCTAGCCAGTCACTTACTGAAATCCGATGGGAACGTAAGAATACTGCCCGACATACCGTATTCTGAACGAAATCTCATCCGGAACATCCCTAAGGAATCTCGCGAGGTGTTTTTCCGTGGAAGAAATATCATTGTGCAAGGTGTACCGGAAAATATGGACCCAACTCAAGCAAACTCTGATATTCGGGAATGGAAATTCATTAATCATTCTTTAAAACTCAAGAACATATTGACCCATCAGGTGATGTGACTAGCCAAGAGAGAAGGAGACTCTAGACCCCGGCTGTTGAAGATAACCTTCCCCTCCTCCCACATGGCGTCTGCAACTCTAGAAGCATTTCGTGCCAATAGACGTCGGTTGCCAACTGGCATCCATATGCATCCAGATAGGCCCCACGGCAGCAGGATCAAGCACAAACGAAAGCTGGAGCTGATAATTACACTCGTGGACTGTCTCTATCATAAAAAAGGTGTAAAGGACAGGGACTACCAAGTCGGTAAACATTGTATAGATAGGCTACCTGTCCACTCACGCACGGCTCATATAGACACCCCGGTAGAAGCTCATGCGTTCCAAATCGAAAGCATAAACTGCCTATACACGAACGCTGCGAGCTTGCCAAACAAAATGGATGAGCCACGTGAACTTAGAAAAGCTAATGATGCCCATCTGATAGGAAAATCCGAAACTTGGATAACGTTTCAGTTTACGAACCAGGAGCTAGCAATAACTGGAATGCCTTTATTTCGCAATGACAGAAAAACAGGAATGGGGGGTGGGGTAGCACTATACATACGGTCATGCCTGGAGGCGCACCAACTTCACAACCAAACGTTTCTCAATCTTGATGAGTCAGTATGGTGCTCAGTAAGATTGTCTACCACCTCGAGGTGTCTAGTTGGGGTCATTTACGAGAAGGCCACTGCCGACATCGAGTATGACAAACGTCTGCTGGAAGGATTAACTTGCTCTACGCGTCTCGAATTCTCTCAAATCCTGATTCTAAGGGACTTCAATCTTCCTAGAATCAACTTCGTGGAACATACATACATTGGAGGTGACAACTCTACTGAAGCTCTGTTCTTTAACCGCATCGGTGACCTGGGATTATTCGAAAATGTGAAGTCGACAACTAGTTGGAGAAACAGTCAGAAGCCGTCGCGCTTAGACTGGGTATTCACAAATGAAGAATTTATAGTTGACGACCTTTTAATCCTGGCTCCCCTGGGGAAAAGTGATCATGTCGTCCTATCATTCAGCTTTGTCAGCAAAACGGAGCTACGATATCCTACTAGCAACAAGCGCTGGAACTTCAAACGGTTGAATGTGTTAGCTTTACAGGACTATCTACAACAGGTGGATTGAGATGTTCACCCCCAACTTGAAGTGGGTGCTCATTGGGATTTCTTACTGCACACGATCTTATGTGCTACTAAGCATTCAGTTCCTAAAATGGTCCCAAAAAGCTACAAACAACCTCCAATCATAAAGAACCGCACTCGTCGTTTGCTAAGCCGCAAAAGTCACTGTTGGGCCGAGTATAAACGAACCGACAATACTGACGCATACAGGCAATATAAACGCATAAGGAACATATGTTCGAAGGCAATTAGAGAAGACAGGCTTCAGTTCCAGACCAAGCCTATCGATAAATTGGTCTTCAATCCGAAAAGCTTATCCAGTTACTCAGCTTCTCTTCGACAAGGCAAAACTGGAGTTTCCCAACTGCTAGGTCCTAATGGCCCGACCAATAACGACGGTGATGCCGCTAACCTTTTAGCTGAACAACACTTCCAGACATTCCAGCTGACCCACATCAATTATACTGACGAAAGCTTCACCTGCACCTGTACAGGACTTTCCGAAGTGGACCTGAGTGCTGACCTGGTGCTCCGTAAACTGCAACACCTAAGAAAGGACACTTCTCCCGGTTCGGATATGGTTCATTCCGCTGTATTGAGGGAAGCAGCTTCAATCCTGGCGACACCACTTAGCGTGGTGTTTGCACACTCGCTAAGCAGAGGCAAACTACCGGAAATATGGAAGCTGGCTCACAACACACCAATTTTCAAAGGAGGTCGACGCAGTGAGCCCTCAAGCTACCGACCAGAGGCCCTTTTCTCCATACCTTCCAAAATTATGGAATCCCTAATATATGACGGTATACAATAATACTTATCATCCTTAAAGTTCTTCTCACCTCAACAGCATGGTTTCAGGAAAGGTCATTCTTGTATGACCAACCTGCTGACTGCGGTGGATAGATGGACAACCATCCTTGATCGCAAGGGTAAGGTTGACGTCATCTACCTGGATCTGTCAAAAGCTTTTGATAGGGTGACCTTCTTATGACTTACAGTATCCTTAACACTTCTGGTCATCCCCCTAAACATCTTCTTAAGCTTAGTCACAACAATAACCTAAGAGGTAACACCCAGAAATTGGAGACCCAACATAGCAGAACAGACTGCAGACACAACTTCTACTCCGTGAGAGTAGTCAAGTGCTAGAATTCGCTGCCGACTGAGGTAGTCCAAGCGACTTCCCTGGAGTCCTCTAAGAGGAAACTTGACTTATTCTTAAGGACTAAAGATAACTTATTATGATTTACCAAATTAATATTTTACTCTACTATTGTTCATATACCTAGGTTTTTGCCTGGAGGTATTGGTGATCCACTGCTACTAGACACGAAAGCCCGTTAAGCGAAAGCTTCTTCTATTCCATCCTCAACCATTTGAACAATTTGATATACGCTCATAAG